CATTGTGGCTGGCTCAGTGAACTCAGGGGCACCCCAATGTGATCTGTCCTGCGAGGGTCGGCCAACCTCCTGTCACCGGGAATCCATGGAACTTTCCTCCTAACGGCCCTACTGATTAAAACCCGCCGTGCCAGACAATCCCCCGCGAGGACACTACGTGTGTGCGTTGCGTGTGTGTGCTCAGTGAGGGGCCCAGGGGGGAGTCACGGCGCTTGCGGAGTTGCTCCGCGGCCGTGGCACCACAATGCTCTGGTAGTGGTTAGAATCAGCGTGGTCCCCCTTTTTAGAAATGGGAACCGCCAAGGCATCCTTCCAATCCTGTGAAACCTGTCCTGTGGAACAGAATTTGGTAATGTCACATAGGGCAGCCTACACACAAATTCCAACCTTCCTCATCAGTTCGCTTGAGAGGTCGTCTCTGCCCAGCGGTTTACCTGGTCTCAGGCTCTGGGTCACCACTATCACTTCAATAGATGGCACAGCAGCCCCAGCATGGTCAGCCTCACCTTACCCCATGATGCTCTCAGGCTCTCACAGACATGCCGAGCAAACCTGCAAATCTGTTTCTGGATGTCAGAAATCGGATCACTGTTTTCACATGGTTAAACAAATTCACATTTAACTTGAAATTACCTCGTTCAGACTTTTAAATGGATTCAAGTGGCTGTTATTTACATACAGGCGACGCTATATTAAGTGGGGTGGTGATTATTAATGATGCTGGTACATGTTAGCTGCTGCTTCTCCTAAACGCCTAAAGGCTGTTTTGTATGATTCTATTACTCTTCATTAATGTATACTATAGTTTCATATTTTGGCATAGTGTTTTCCTTTGGATTTTTAACTCGTCAAATTTTTTTTTCATTTATTTTTTTGAATGAGGATTAAGGTTACCGTTTTACCTGCCAATTCCTTGGCCATCTGTGAGGCCTACCCGGTTGTATGTATGCATGTTGAACTTATTTCACACCCTACATAGCCAACCGTGCTAATTGGACGTACGGGAAAGAACAAACTAAACACAAAAAAGCAGTTCTAAAGAAATTAGTTTTCAATCTATATTTGAAAGTGCAGAGCTCTAGTGGCTTTCTAATATCGGAAGACCCTTCCAACCGGCCACAGAAACGCATCCGACAGCGCGCGATGCCGTATCCATCTTTCTTCGATGGCTTACCAAAAGCAGCTGCGAGGATCACCGGAGTATGCATGATGATGTATGCTCCTTGACGAAATCCGCAAGGTATTGTGGATCATTTGTGGCAACCACTTTATGTGTAATGAGTGCGACTTTATAATGTATTCGTTCAGCAAAAAGAAGCCAACGCAGCTCAGCGAACACTGGACGGTCATGGTCAGATCTTGCAGTACCCGTCACGAGAAGTGCCAAACAATTGTGTACACGCTGCAGCTTGGAAATGTTTTTGCCAGACGTCCCGTAGAGTAGTGAGTTGCAATAATCGAGCCTTGTCAGTACATGCCACCGTGTTGGCTATATCATGACTCAACAGTGGTCACACATGTCCTAGAGCCCTGATATGAAAATTGCAGCACGTCTGACAAAACACACATGTACCCCTACTTTGTTTGGCCCTGGTTAATAGTTGTGGGTGCGCATTGGAGGGATTTGGTGTGCAAGCGGATTTTCAAGCTTTTGTGAAAAAACGGACATGCACGCACGTGTTTTGCAAACAGAGTTTGAGGTGTGAGAAAATTGTACACTACACAAATAAATGTCTATAATTTATTTTTCCATATATTTTACTTAAATATACTTGCAAATCCTGCATATCTTTTAAAACATCGTATTTTGAAAACCAAGCGCATATCCATTATATTAGCTCCCTTCCCACACACTCCACAGAATGGTATGATGATGTATATTCATGTTTAAACCAAGTCACGGTCAAGGCTTGACACAGGCCGACGTTGATCTCACGGTTGCTTCTAAAACTGTAGTACAGCCATGAGTCCATGGGTGATGCACAATCTTCATGAATGGCTTTGGCCTGCTCAGAGAAGAGCTTTGACCTCTCAACGATTGCAATATCCTGAAGCAAAAGCTTTGAATTAGGATGGGAAAGCCATAAGCCCTGTAGCCGTGCTTCATGACTGCTGCTACATAGAGGAAGATGCAATCCAAACCTTATCTCTTGCAGATGCATGAACGAGTGTCCCCCCCAGAGCCGTTCGACACGGGAATGAAATAAAATACAGCACATAGTTTGCAGTGGTGCACAAATAAATAAAAAAGCTCACTATATGCAACATTAGGAACTATCTTGAACAGAAACACCTTGTTGAAAAAAACTATGAGTTTAAAACTTCCTTAATGAGAGCTGTGAAATTAAGGTTAGGCGCTCCATAAACCCCTTAGTGACCTCATTCCCAATCACAAAATTATTATTTTTCTTTGTAAAACAAGAGCAATTTTCTAACGTTTGAGCCAAGACCCTTCAAAGTTGAGGCAGTGTTAATGACAGATTTGTAAAAGAAAAAAATTGCTTGTGCACCACTGTCAACAGTCACTTGATTATGTTGTAAATTCTGCAATCGAGAGACATCAACTGGAACAAAGATGTAAACGTGTGAAATATGCCCGGGACAAAGTCTAAATGGGACAAGTGCCTCTTTTGGGTGGTTGCTTCTTCAAATTGGGTCGTCCTTTCTTCACCTTCACTTTCAGTTACTTGGAATTAAAGCCTAAAATATGAGCAAACTATTGCAATATTTTGTCATTGAAAACCATATATGTAAAGGGAGACGACGATACTTGAGTTTTATCCAACAGGACATTGTCCAAGACCAGCAGATTCTCCAATACATGACAGCCTCTGCGTATCAATATGACAATACAATACCTTGCTGATCTCGTCTAGGAGCATAAACCATCACACAAACTCTGGTCATCAACGCAGTGGCTTTTGGCTAACCATCGAACAAAGATGGTCACTGCATCGTATGCTTTCAGATGTGCTTCTGCAGCCATCTGTATCGCTCTTCCTTCTGATATTAGAAAGCCACTGGAGCTATACACTTTTAAATCTAATTTTATTTTATTTAGAACTGCTTTGTGTTTAGTTTGTTGACCTTCCCTCACACCTCCGATTAGCACGGTTGGCTATGTACGGTGCGAAAGAAGTTCAACATACATACTTACACTTGATGGGATCCCAACTGAAGCAAACACTGGCAACCTAAGTGTACAGCTGGGTGACGCTGCCTTACAGATGGAGCATTCTGAACAATGATAATGAAAAGTGAACAAAGGTCTGAATGGGCCAAGTGAAGCAGCAGAGCCGACCTTGGGTTTCCGGTCAGGGTTTGTCCTAGGGGCTGGTTTGTTAGAATTGGGGGAAAGACCTAGTGTCCTCTGCACCCTAACCCCTTCACATCATTGCCAAATAATGTTTCACTTTGATCACTTTTCATTTCAGTGGCTGACTGCATAAAACACAAGTTATTTATATTTACCTTTAACTTGCATTACTCTACACAACTCGAGGATAGCTCCACTTAAGTGATTTGTTCAGCCGGCCACTGGTTTTACTCTTCACGACGCCGTACATTCACGAGTTACACGTTTTCATTACCGAGTATGCATGTGCCGACGTGGACAAATCAATAAACTCCCCATGCCTGTGGTGGTGGAAAAATGGACCACACCATCACCACAAAGCTGCTATAAAGAACGATTGCACACATCCATCTCACATTCACACATGTGGTGCGGGTGAACAATTGCAGTGTTAAAGGAAGGGGGAGAGGAGGGCGGAGACGACAAGCAACCATGGGACATGTGTAGACGGTGCTTCCTGATGCTGAAATGAGCAGAGGCATTGGTGCTCCTCTACGGTTCACAGCCCTGAGCAAGCGGTGGGGAATCCAGATTTTTTTTTTGCTGTGGTTTTCACACCTGTTGATGATTGCTTGAGTTGCAGTCGAAACGTCGTGAGAATTTTATTCTTTTATATTTGTATTATTTTATTGTTTCCCTTCTACATGACTTTACCGAAAGAACCAAGAATATGAATTATGCTATATTAATTTGGGGAAGCATAGTACTTTACTTACCGCCACCGTAAAGAATTGTGGATTAGATGCCCTCTGTGCCTGCCAAATTGCCTGCCCGTTGGCTATTTGTTCACACCTGCCATCACAGATCAACAAAGCACTGATGAGAAATAACTGGGAGAAAGAGCATCAAACTAAAACACTCGCGACAGAAGTGGGGTACACAGCAAGTAGGAGGAGGCGGCGATGGGTTTGGGATAGGGTCAAGGCCATATTGGCTGCACTGCCAGCTTTTACAGCCACAGTATCCCACGTTAAAGCACATCTATTTTCCATATAACACAAAACTGTACTTCAGAGGTAAGATGTCCTTTTCAAATACCTAGTGCTTGCCAGAACTTGGGTGGGGCTACTGGTGAGTGGATGCCTTGGTGTCTCAATGGATGCCCCAAAAGCAAAATTTAAAAAGCACAACATTGAATTATCACACAGCAATAAAAGTGGTATTATTAAAACAATAATTAAAAACATTTGTTCAAAACCATTAATAATCCTGCAGAGTGCAACAACTAAGTTATGGTGTCAGGACTTACAGATACCTCAAGACACAACTGAAATGTTGGTAAAATTATATAATTTTTTTCAAGCCTTAGGAATATGTGAATGAGAAAACGCAGTTTTCCATTTTACCATGTCGGGGTTTGTTTCTACAACGGCCTGAAACAGACAGGTGTTAATATTATTAATGTAACTTTCTTTCCCCATTCTGCCTGGGTAAAACTGTAAAGACCTAGATAGACACGACTAAAAAGACATGCATTGTGATGTGAAATAGAAGCAAATAGTGTGTGGGTTAAGCGCACTAAAAAAACAAATGCCAACTTTACTCCTTACCCAAACCAACGAGCCAACCAGCCACGAGTACTGGCTTTCCTAGTAACCCTAACCAAGTCAAGTAGCGAGCGAGCGAGCCACGAGCACTATCTTTACTGCTAACCAACTAGACAACCACCGAGTGTGGCCCCCCAATCCCACTGACCATCATGCTACCATGAACCACACGTCACCTTTTTCAGTGTCCGTGCTCACAGTGCATTCATCGAAATGTACTGCCCACAACCAATCTATTGAGATTTTCAAATCCGTCAGAGGTCAACTTGGCTCATCATGCTTCCATTGTTTAAAATATTAGTACTTCTTTGTGAAAAATCAAGATTGGGTTGTGCTATAAAATTGCTCATTGTAAGGCAGAATTGCAAACACTAGCTTTGGGTGAAACAACTTGGTGCCTTCCTGCCAGTGCTTGTCTGCGACCACTCTCTTTTGTTTAACCCAGGAGACGTGGGATATTCCACGAAATTTATACCAATATTAAATGCCCCCTTATCTCTACCCACCAAAGCCTAACTCGCTTCATGTCTTTTTCAGGAAATTCCTGCTTTTGACGTTTAGTTGCTTTTTTGTTGAATGCTTTTGTGCGGGAGGAGTCTAGAGAAAGCCCTCACAGACAGGAGGATAACACTGGTTTAGCAGCTTACTTGCTCCCCTGCCTGTCACCTTGTGCCCCTACAGGGTGGGAGTAGCTGTTTATAATCTGATAGCATGAGGAAGAATAGTAAAGTTTTCACACCGCTTTATTTTAAGTGTCTCTGCAAAACGTGAGATTTGAATACGATTAACGTACATTTTGTTCTAATCAAAAGTGCATTGTTTTACTTAATGGTGCTTAACTATAACAAGTATTAACTGCATTAATAAAATGCACCATTTCTGTTTTCTTCAAAACCATAGAGTCTCTGCTTCCTATACAGTTTGTTACTATAGTAGAAAAGTGTTCTGGATGGATGATCTGGGTGGGTTCCTGTCAGGCTGAGGTGCTGCACTCGCAAGTGCACACTGACATCACCCGCATCCCACAGCACTGAGCCGGGTTTGTGCGTCACCCCGACATCACACCCCACCATCCTTTCCGGATGTGTATTCCAAACAAATGTGCGGGATACTCTATCATATTGTCATATCATCATCATACTCGATCATACTCAAACCAGAGCAAAGGGAGGAGGTGAGGCGGGAGATAGAGGTATAGGGTGGGGAGATAGATAAGGAAGAGACAGAGAGGCGCCGAGAGTGAAAGGGAATGAAACGGTGAGGAAAGAGGACAGCAAGGGAAAATGAAAAACAGTGGGAGAGAGGATTAGGGAGAGGAAAGAAATATTGAGAAGGGAAAGGTCAGAGGTAGGAATAAGGAGAGTGAGGGTGAGAGAGAAACAGGAAGAGTGATAGGGGGAGCTAAGTGGGTGAGATACAGTGGAGAGAGGAATTAGCAAAAACAAAGCGAGAAATCGAGATAAATATTGACGTACAGTTCTGAGAAGGCAAGAAAAAGGGAGTAACAGGGCTCTATATACGAATACAAGTTTTGCTGGCTGGGAGAGATTGACGGTCACATTCAAATACAGCTGGGTTGCTAGTTAGTAGTGAAATTAAATTACCACCAAGTGTTTACAATCATTTAACATTTCATTTATACTCTAAAGGGCACATTAGGCTCAGTCCAACTACACCATTGTGTTGTAGAGTAGTTAAAAAAATACATTAACAAATTATATAAGGGAACTAAAATAATAACATACAGTTTTTCATGAAGCCAGTCCCTGCGAGAGTCGGTATGATTGAAGAGGACATTCTCAATAAACTTCATACAGCAGCACCCAGCCTGGGCTGGCTAGACTCCTTCACCACTCAGCCCATGCAATTCTGGGACTACCACAGACTGGCCCTTATTTACTGCTGGAGAGTACTGTATGGGACCCAACGGTGCATAGAGTTCGACAGGCAACTTTGAAAACAAAAGTCCGTAAAAAATGATGTCTGATGAGTTTGAATGGCGAAACCTGTCCAGTTTTAATGTATTGAACCAATTCTGATAAAATTATGCACTTCTTGCAAGGCATGTAGCTGAAGGGATGTGTAAACAATACTTACATTATGTAGAGGGACAGATATGAGAAGTAGGCATATTGTCTGCTAAATAATTGTCTCTGAAATGCAGGCCTGTCTGCCAATTGTAGTATGCACTGGGCCTCGTGAACTCTGTAATGAGCCCACGGTAACGATACGTCTGCTTGTTCCGCAGTACAGAGCGATTGTGCTATCGGTATCTTGCCAAGAGAGGATGAAGCAATTACTATTAAGAATTCACAGTGAACAGTACACCACCATGTTAGCACAAAACCTCTGGAAGATGACGTGACATAAGTGCTTCTGATGTTCCCTCATTTGCCTTTTATACACACTATGTAGGTGTTGGTGCTCCTTCTCACATGTCTTACTATGCAGGTGTTTGTTTGTCATGTAGAAATCGAAACGAGAAGTCTATCAAAGCTATAGTATCCAAAGCTGACCATCTGTGCCCACATGATAAACCTGCAGACTCAATGCCTCTCAACACCACATTACCCACTCAGCGATACCCAATGTACACACTATATTAAATAATTACATTATATAGCGGATATAACGGCAAGAGGGCAAGTGCATTCGAGTTAGAGCGCACAAACGCACCACACTCTTATCTACAATATTCATTGCGAAGCGCAGTGCGCAATACTGCCAGTTACATCCTGCAGTAAGACACTACCGCTCTGAGAAACATGACTGCTGCCAATCACAAAGGTATCCAGAGCCTAGGGGACAGGGGAATGGGAACAACATAGATATGTGCATTCTCCAAATTTCATTCCTGTTGTGTTATTGGTGCCAAATCACGAGACCTACACATTTATATCCAGAACTCTTTATGAGCAATGCACCATATTGTGTTAAAGAACGGTTTTCAACACAAGGTGATGTCTTCAGATGTAGCTACATTCAGAACTTAAATGCATCCGTAATCTATTGTATCGTATTGCCTGTATGGGAGAGAGGGACCCACGGGCCTAAGTTGAATGCAGAAATTTCTGTCAGAGCGGCAATGTTTCACTCCCAGCGAGTGGCGAAACAAGGCAACGAGTGCAGGGAAAGTCGCTCCGCACCTGAGGAACAACCCACCTCCCCAAGCCCAGGGTGGCTCTGGGGATTAGTGATGGACATTTCCAAATGAGGCGCTGCCTAGCTCTGTTAACCAGAATCCATGTGACTGCATTTTGCTGTCGAGAAATGGTGCAATGCCAAGCTAGGAGTCAGGGAAGTGAGTGGTACACGCAATGTGGAAGTGAAACGCGACTCTTGGATTGAAGCGACGACAGCCACAGGTGTCGTATCCTTCCCTGCCAACGCCTGAGCTTCCAAGCCCTTTCGGTGTCTTTCGGATAGCCACTCACTCACTCTGCCTTTCTACCCTTTAGTGCAGTTCCATGCTCCATTCGTGCTTCACTAGCATGTCCGTAAAATTAAACACTGTTTAGTCAACCTTCAGTTCCAACGCTGCTGGAAGTGTGAGTCTGTGGCAGCTCAATGCACTCCATGATCATAGTTTAATACCCACGGACCTTTCAGAACTGTCTGTCAGTGCTGGGAAAGAGACCGGACGAAACCTCCCTGCCAAACTACATTCACCTCCTTTGTTCTGTACGTTTTAATAATCTTATTGAGGGTAAATTACAGGATTGCACCATTTTGTGTGGTTAAGGGATGTGTTTACTTTCGTGCAGCTTATTTAAAGCCTTTAAGTCAGAAACGTTGCTGTGGAAACAGTGCAAAAGCTCAGTTCCTGCCACCACTTAGATGCAACGGAGCGTGGCACGCTCTCCCCGTGTGATAAGGCCACAAGGACGGCCCACCATTTATCCCGGCCTTGGGGAGGGGTAGACACGTCTCCCCGGAGCATGGCCGAGCGTAGCATTTGCCGAGTGGGAGATCAGGGAAGGGAAGGTGAAGTCCGTGGCAGGTAGCTGTGTCCGTGGCTGTCAGTACTAGGCAGCTGTGTCCATGGTGGGTAGCGCTGCCCATGGTGGTTAGCACTGCCCTTGGCAAGTGGTGCTGTCTGTGGTAGTTAGCCATGTCCATGGTTGGTAGCAGTATCCATGGCAGATAGCGTTGTCGGAGTAGGTTAGTTGTGTCCATGGCGCGTTGCGATGTCCATGGTGGGGAGTGGTGTCCGTGGTGGTTAGCTGTGTTTGCGGCAGGTACTACTAGGCGTGGCGGGTAGCTGCGTCCATGGTAGGAGGTTTCAGAAGCGCGACGTGGAGAGTTCGTAGAAGAGCACGTATGCCTCACTCGAGCGCACCTGACCTATGGACAGAGGGGTCACCCTGCCCGTGGTAGAGAGAACACAGTGGTGAGACATGGGGCGACAGTTCCTCGCACTCAATGCAAACGGATCTCCTGGAGTATGCCCCATCTTGTAAGATCTCAGAAGTGAAGCAGAAGTGAGCCCGGGTAGTGCTTGTATGGGCAACCACCACTGCACACTGTAGGTTGTCATAGGGTTGTGGGAATACGTGGTGTACAGGAGAGGGCAATGCAGTAAAATCCAATTGTTGTACTGTGCTTCTATGCTGCCACAAGTTGATAAAAGGCACCCTGCGTGTGTATGCTGGCTGAATGGGGAGCGGTGGCTCAGCGGTTAGCGCGCTATGCTCTGAACCCGCTGACCCGAGTTCGAATCCCGCTCATGGCCAACACCAATGACGATTATTTAAACCGGTCCTGGGCCTCCCCTAGGTCAACTCAACCTCAAACGAGTAGCGGGTGCGGTGTGTAAACATCGCCACCAGGGAAACAAAGGCATGGTGCTGGTTAGCTACCCCTTCCTGTGCCGTGCTGGCCTTCATAGATGCTCGCTAACAGCACTTGCCTCAAAAGTTTGTTAAGGCTATATGTGGGATCTTTGTATTTGTCTTTGTGCTGGCCACATGGCCGCTCACCGCGAGTCATTGTAGCAGTACCACTCGGAGCTGCCCGGTGGCCGCCCGTACGCGATGTAGTGCCCGCCCATGGTGGTGCCCGAGTGGTTGGCCACGGCGTACAAGTTGTACACAGCAGACACTGAGAGGGAGGGCAAGGAGGTGTGAAGACATGGGAACAGTGTTGGTCATGCACACAGGGTGCGGAAAAAGTGGCGGCACCAATGAAGCAGCGTGGACGTGAAAAAAAGGAGCCTAGCTGAAGATCCTATGGCAGAACCTCCTGATTTCACACAATTCAGGTGGCAGTGGATGATCATAAATTGATTTAGGACTTCTGATGGGTGATGTGGATATCTGATGCACAAGTAGCGATTAAACGACAATCCGCAACGCAACTGTGGAGAACAAAATAAGCAGTTGCCCTTCATATTCACTTCCATTGGGGTGACAATATTTAATTGCGCATCCGACGATATTCTTGACTATTGAAATTCAATTCACCCATTGCAAATGTTGCTATGTTCATACGACAGAAGAATTATGCATTTTCTGACAGCAGTTGACACTGAGTGGGGTGTAAAGGTGAGTGGGATACTGTTGAGGTTCTGCTGTTGAATACCTTATAGAACAAGGTATATACTATGCAGGGGGTGTGACTTTCAGGAGGCTTTGCCTGTAGGAGCATGAGATGTGTATGTCAGGGTGTGGGGTATAGGTGTTGAGGGGTGTGTACATATTGATGTGTAGTGTCAGGGATATAAAGAAGATTGTAGAGTATGAAGAGCTAAGCTTTGTAAGAGAAGTGTGAAGCGATGAAAATGGTCCTCCGTAGTGTGCTATGAACTCAACAACTGGAGTCTGATCGCTAGCAATGGAGTAAATCAATGACAATTGGTATCTGAACCTGTTTGGTGCCTTGCCTAGGTGGATACAGCCTCAAATGTGTACCTCGTATGGTGTGAACATGTGCTTGAAAAACAAAGCAGGCCGAGCTTAGTTCTGACGACACCCCACCCCCTACAGTGAGGGAAAAAAGTATTTGATCCCCTGCTGATTTTGTACGTTTGCCCACTTACAAAGAAATGATCAGTCTATAATTTTAATGGTAGGTTTATTTGAACAGTGAGACACAGAATAACAACAAAAAAATCCAGAAAAACGCATGTCAAAAATGTTATAAATTGATTTGCATTTTAATGAGGGAAATAAGTATTTGACCCCTCTGAAAAACATGACTTAGTACTTGGTGGCAAAACCCTTGTTGGCAATCACAGAGGTCAGACGTTTCTTTTTTAGTTGGCCACCGGGTTTGCACACATCTCAGGAGGGATTTTGTTCCACTCCTCTTTGCAGATCTTCTCCAAGTCATTAAGGTTTCGAGGCTGACGTTTGGCAACTCGAACCTTCAGCTCCCTCCACAGATTTTCTATGGGATTAAGGTCTGGAGACTGGCTAGGCCACTCCAGGACCTTAATGTGCTTCTTTTTGAGCCACTCCTTTGTTGCCTTGGCCGTGTGATTTGGGTCATTGTCATGGTGGAATACCCATCCACGACCCATTTTCAATGCCCTGGCTGAGGGAAGGAGGTTCTCACCCAAGATTTGACGGTACATGGCCCCGTCCATCGTCCTTTTGATGCGGTGAAGTTGTCCTGTCCCCTTAGCAGAAAAACACCCCCAAAGCATATTCTTAGTTATTTCGGTAAAGTCACGTTGAAGGGAAACAACAAAATAATAAAATATATATAAAACAATAAAAATTCTCACGACGTTTCGACCATAACACAAACGGTCGTCTTCAGGTGTGTGAGAATTTTTATTGTTTTATATATATTTTATTATTTTGTTGTTTCCCTTCAACGTGACTTTACCGAAAGAACTAAGAATATGAATTACTGCAGTCACGAAAGCTTTAAATCAAAATTTTAAACCCCCAAAGCATGTTTCCACCTCCATGTTTGACGGTGGGGATGGTGTTCTTGGGGTCATAGGCAACATTCCTCCTCTTCCAAACATGGCGAGTTGAGTTGATGCCAAAGAGCTCCATTTGGTCTCATCTGACCATAACACTTTCACCCAGTTGTACTCTGAATCATTCAGATGTTCATTGGCAAACTTCAGACGGGCATGTATATGTGCTTTCGTGAGCAGGGGGACCTCGCGGGCGCTGCAGGATTTCAGTCCTTCATGGCGTAGTGTGTTACCAATTGTTTTCTTGGTGACTATGGTCCCAGCTGCCTTGAGATCATTGACAAGATCCTCCCGTGTAGTTCTGGGCTGATTCCTCACCGTCCACGAGGTGAGATTTTGCATGGAGCCTCAGGCCGAGGGAGATTGACAGTTCTTTTGTGTTTCTTCCATTTGCGAATAATCGCACCAACTGTTGTCACCTCACCAAGCTGCTTGGCAACGGTCTTGTAGCCCATTCCAGCCTTGTGTAGGTCTACAATCTTGTCCCTGACATCCTTGGAGAGCTCTTTGGTCTTGGCCATGGTGGAGAGTTTGGAAGCTGATTGATTGCTTCTGTGGACAGGTGTCTTTTATACAGGTAACAAGCTGAGATTAGGAGCACTCCCTTTAAGAGTGTGCTCCTAATCTCAGCTCGTTACCTGTATAAAAGACACCTGGGAGCCAGAAATATTTCTGATTGAGAGGGGGTCAAATACTTATTTCCCTCATTAAAATGCAAATCAATTTATAACATTTTTGACCTGCGTTTTTCTGGATTTTTTTGTTGTTATTCTGTCTCTCACTGTTCAAATAAACCTACCATTAAAATTATAAACTGATCATTTCTTTGTCAGTGGGCAAACGTACAAAATCAGCAGGGGATCAAATACTTGTTTCCCCTCACTGTAAATACAGATCTTATATATTAGATTTCAGGTTTCCACAGTCTTAATATTAATTTGAGCTTCATTCAGGTAGGACTACTGCCAGTGTGACTTCATCACCAGTTGTTGCTTAAGTCGCCTTCCTTCCACCAACTTTCCGTAGACCACAACAGCAAACATCGAATTAGTAGTGGGAGTGTAACACGATGGTACACGCTACCAGTGAGTACAGAATTAAAGCTCACAGATTGCGCCTCTACACAAACGACTTAATGTAGATTACGTGAACTTGTGTAGCAGCAGCAAATATAAAGCAGTGACATGCACAGTAACGCCAGCATTTTCAGCAGCATATAGCGCAGGAGCAGATTGTATAATGGAAGCAGTAGCAGCAGTCCGGTTCATGAAGCCCTCCTCTGGCATCAGATTCCTCCAAACAAAATCCAATTTATAGACCAGATATCAAGTCACCATGTGCCACATCGCGGCAGCTGCCACTCGAGGTGCCCTTTCAAATGTATCAGATATGACGTATCAGGTGTAAAGCAATATGAGATGCCTCGGTGTCAAGGGCCTCTATCAAAAACAAGTAATTATTATAATAGGTATTTCCCCTTTTTTTCTGGCAACAAAACAGGTGTTAAGATGTTAAAACACCAAACTGAAACCTTTAACAAGGAATCATGTCTGCATTAACTGCAATGCTTGTGGTCAGAATGCAAACAAACAACATACTCTCATAATATATGCAGGTGTTAGACCAGAGGACGCCTTTTGGCGTCTTCAGGTCTAACACCGTTTGAGACGAGGCTAAAAAGAAAGCTGTCTCTGGTGTGAACCAATCATCTTCCAGGACACTGCATATATTATCAGAGTATGTTTTTTGTTTGCATTCTGACCACAAGCATTGTGGTTAATGCAGACATGATTCCTTGTAAAAGGTTTAAGTTTGGTGTTTTAACATCTTAACACCTAAATTTTGATATAAAGCTTTCGTGACTGCAGGGATTCATATTCTTGGTTCTTTCGGTAAAGTCACGTAGACGGGAAATAATCAAATAATAAAAATATAAAACAATACAATTCTCACGACGTTTCAACTGCAACACAAGCTATCATCATCAGGTGTGAAAACCACAGCAAGAAAATTTGAAAAAAGTAGCGTTTTTTTACGTTAGCACTGCTGTATATGGCCCTTTTTCCACAATTAATATCAATAAGGATATTTGCCGATATTTTTTTTTACAGAAATAATAAATGAAAACACGCAATACCAGAGCACAGCAAACCACAGATGGAAATCGTAAAAAGACCAATAACATTTTTTAAATAAATACAATAAACTCCGGGGCCAGGAAAGGTTAGCGGCTATCGGTGGAATCGCCAGATTGCCAGGGGACGATTTCGCAAACAAACATAAAAATTTATGTTACGCATAAACTCCGGGGTCGCCAAGAGGTAAAGGGAAATTCCAGACCCCCAGGACCCCCCCCCCCCTTCGTCAGCGCAGACAAACTGACGCCAACAGCTAAACCATTTTCCCCTTCATTGCTATTAAAGTAACGTTAAAGTTCAAAATTCAACAACAAGAATAAGCTAAAATTATCGATCCTCACACTCACGCCAATTAAAAAACCAGGCCACAAGCTACATCAATGAACCATTACCCAGTTATTAATTCAATACTAAATGTCATTTTCACCTTTAATAATTTCTACACGACCTGACCGAAGCATAAAAAAGAATCCTGGCAGTCCGAGTTATGCCTAAGTCAAAGCGAATTCTCAAACCTCAGGACATCAAGAATAAAATAAAGTAAATGATGACATAACAGCACAGACCCAACCGGGTACAGACAGAGAGCAAGTTAATACAATGTTAAATCACAAATCCTGGGGAGCATTAACAATGATGCAGTATTAAACCCAGGGTTATACAGAAGGGATGAATCAAACGGTTCAAGCTTACGAAACCAGGATAAACTGTGTTCCAGAGAGCCTCCCGGCCGCCTTTGTCTTCCCGCAGCGCGAGAGAGCAAAGATAACACCAGAAGACAAGGAATTATCGCTGGCCATCTGCGCTCACGGGAGAGCTATGACTCAATAAACAACACTTCCCCCCACCACACGCCAGACAAATGGCACACCCCCGCACAAGCAGAGAGGGGGCGGGGGGGGGGAAATTCCTTAGAATGCGCAGCGTGCGTCAGCAAAACCCAGGCAAGCAAATTTTAAGTTAAAGAAAAAGAATATTAATACATAATATCACACAGAACATTAATGCTAACGTGGTTCACCTTAAACTATATTCCGTTTATATAACCTTGCAAACACCAAGGAGTACAAAATTCCAACAACCGAGAGGCTTATCTCTTGGCTCAGGATAACGGAAATAAAAGGATATAAATGATAAAGCTTACACACGGATTGACGAAAATATAAAAACTGAGGAAGGGCCAGGATAACTGGGTAAAACACAAGCTTGTTAAACATTAAACCAAATGACATTTGAGCGACGTTAAATCGAGGGCTAGCCAGAGAGAGCCTCCCGGCCGTCTTTGTCTTCCCGCAGCACGTGATAAGAATATGCATACGCTCAAGAGAGCATCATATCCTCGTGAAAATAAAAAGCAGATACCTGGAGTCACAGACAGAATCCTAACTGCGAGTGGTACAGTACCAAAAACTATGATGGAATAAATGTTAACTTTAAAAACCTTAACCCTTCCTTTGGTCGTCGGAAAATGTCAGATTGTATAACGCAGACAGAGGGACGCCTTCGGAACGATTTGAAGCATTTGTTTTTTATGGTTTATGGAAGAGGACAACGAACAGAACCAGGCCGTAAATGACACACATACGGACACACACACTCCAGACCACGACACACAGCTAAATCAAAAGGAGCTCCGCCTTGTAAGGAGGAGCCAAGGGGAGACATTTTGACATAAAAGTAAGACGCTCCAGCATTGAAATCAACTCATCAGCCAGCGGACAAGCTCAGCGACCAGCGGACCAGCTCAACTCATCCCTGCAGAAGATCAACCATCAGAAGATCAACCACCACCGACGCAGAAGAATTCTCTACAACTCGCCAGAATGGCGAGATTCGCTGTTTAGCGACAGGCTACACGGTGCGAATCAACACCATCAGAAGGAGCATCGCAACAAACGTGTATCGCCCAGCGCCAGATAGCGTGCAACCAGTAATCATCACGCCAACGACATAACCGTGCCAGCGACCAGCAGACGAGCGCCATCTACCGATCGTGCAACCGTACCCGCTACGAGCGAGCCGTGAGCCAGCCACCTACCGACGGGCCACCACGCCGACGGCGCACAACGGCGCCCGCTACGAGCGAGCTGTGAGCGCCCTCTACCGACAGAACGCCACATCAACAGCGCATCGTGCCAATCCGTCAACTAGTGTGGGCCGAATCGACTGCTATGAAAGGAGAATCAACCATACGTATGACATACTCTGCCCCCACCACACGACAAACCAGGTGTCTGCTTGACACAAAGAATTAATTCCAAACACAGGCCTACTCAACACAATCCATATCACTCAAAACATACACGAGTCATTAACAAAAGCCTAATCCTCAAGACGTAAACCATCAGTGGCCGTAAAAGCATCGCGACAGACCAAGTGATAACCATCCGTCGTTTATAAGTACAGTAATAATTTTTCCTCCTTAATTCTTTTGTTTTGGTTGTACTTCTTGAGGAGCCTTTCAAAACCATCACTTTACCCTACATTGCAGGATTCACAAAAAAGATCTCCAAAATCTTCAATAAACACAAGATCCAGGTCCGATTCAACACATTACATAAAATCCGTGATCTGGTTCCATCTGTAAAAGATGTGATTCCGGACATACAGTACCCTGCCGTCCACAAACTAAGTTGCCTCTGTGGTAGTAGTTACATTGGAGAAACCAAACAACATGTCTCGGACCGCATTTGTGAACACAAAGCAGACCTAAAACACGGTAGGACCAACACCTCGGCCGTGTCAGATCACTGTTATAATTCAGTAGGCTCACATGACATTGACTTCTCCAAGACAGAGGTTCTTTGCAAGCCATCTGGCTACCATGAGAGATTAGTTCATGAGGCTATCCACATATACAAACACAGACAATTTCAACCGAGAAGATGGATTCTGGCTTAGCAATCATTGGAAGGATTTGATAAACCATTTCGGGTCTTAATTGATTGTTCACGCTTACGGTGGCTTTCAGACCGCATCCATTATTTTCGTCTCCCCCCTCCTCTTTTCCGAACATAGATGGACTCGTCCATCCGAATAACTGCCAAATCGCTCTCCGTGGTGCTAACGTTAAAAAAACCGCCACTTTTTTCAAATTTTCTTGCTGTGGTTGTCACACCTAATGATGATTGCTTGTGTTGCAGTCAAAACGTCGTGATAATTTTATTGTTTTATATTTTTATTATTTTATTGTTTCCCTTCTACGTGACTTTACCGAAAGAACCAAGAATATCTTAACACCTGTTTTTTGTTGCCAGAAAAAAGGGGAAAAACCTATTATCATATTTTGGTACTGGCAAGGAGGTCCCATGAAGTAATTATTATGTCTGTCTGTTTTCGTAGCCGATGTTTCGCGCTCGTGTGGATTTTTCCAGGGACTGGCCTCACCATTCTTGTCAGCAGCAAAGTTGCCCAGGTCGAGGTCTCGTAGGGGGAAGTCCACGAAGGTTGAAAGCTTGCTGGTCTGGTAGCGGCGGGATGACTCAGAGAAACGCTTCAGGTCTGAAGGCGAGGGCAGTTCAGGGATAACGCAACAATGCATTTACAAAATCTTTATGCATCCCGGAAGCTAAGCAAGGATCAGTGGTAATGCTTGGATTATAAACTGCCTGGGAACACCTGGTTTTGTTGGCTTGAACTGGGAGGTGGCCAACAGATCCAAGTACAGCAATGAGTTATTGAAACTGTGCAAATCTTTGAGCATCACCCCTCAAACACGTGGTGGGTTTTCTCTCATTTCCTCCAAACAAAAAGCTAAACACTCATTAAAGAAACCACCACAAGACAGGATCCTCATTAAATTGGGTCTTTAGACTTGGGAAAGCTTCCCTAAGTTAAAAAAAAATCGTTTTTATTCTAGCAACCACTGCAGTACAGCACTTTCATTAGGCAGCACCGTGGATGTGAGAGTTTCTAAGCAAATGAAGCTACAGGGCAAATAATAATGTGGCAATGTGGCACAATTTTGCAAGTTGCAATTTAGCTTTGATAACATAAAGCAAACACGTTTTGGAAGGCATATAAATGGTTTACTCTAACTGTAGGTAGTGGTCGAATAAAGTGACTTCTGAAGTAGTTCTGTGACATCATCTTCAGGGCCGTTCAGGTTAGTCCACTGCTATTTGCGAGAGTTATGAATGACAGAGACCCAGAACACAGGTAACTTTTACAAGTAGGGCTATCTGGGGGTCCGAATATATAAGAACTAAGTAAATCCTATCAGGCAACGTATTGAATAGGCACCAAAACCTTATAACGGAAAGTGCAGAGTATTTATATCGTATTATATGTTGCTGTTAGTTAAAAAATGTACAACATATTTAAAACGTACTGAATATATCCTCAATTATAGATAACGAATTAAAATACTTAGTTAACATGTCCTTAGTTATTGTCAACATTAAATCATGCGTGTAACATATTAAATGGATACACTGATATTTTACCTATGTTCAATTCTGTTTGGATTAAGTGTGCGATGCATAGCTGTGCTCTGGGTGCCACAGGGCCACCTTCCCTCCACAAATCAGGATGCCATCTACATAGAGTAGCAGTGTGGGTATGGGGAACACAATCTTCAAAATAAGATGCATTTGGCTGTGTTAATGGTGAAAAAACTTTTTTTTGTAAAATTATGACAGTTGCTCGTTTGGGATTATTTACTTATGTAATTCTGCTTATCGTAGTGTAGGCCCTTGTCTACAACCTGTTTTCCAGAATATTGACCTGGGATTGGAGTGTTCTGCTCAGCTGACTGCAGTCTCCAACATCCCCTCAGACTCGGCATGGCTAACTGCAAATCCCTGTCTGCGATTTCTGTGACATTTATCGCTCCATACACTTAAGTCAGGCTGTGGCTGAGGTAAGTTGTATATTTATGTTATGAATTATGTTTAGTAAATGTGAGTGTGATTTTGCATGCATGTATTTGTGCAAGAGTACGTGTGAGGTGGTCTCGAGGGGGCCACCATGATGTAGAGACAGTGCCGTGTTAAGGGTGGTACTGTAGGGGCGGAGCCCAGGTGTCGCTGTGAATGGGGTCGTGTCAGGACGTGGCAGCGAGATGAACCCGGAAGGGCATGTGACCAGACGAGGGGAGGCAGGGGGGCCCCCAGTCGGGGGTGAGAGGATCACGTAATGGGGATCCAGAGTCCCCACGAGGGTTCTGGAAGGGGGGCGTGGCCAGGTGCGGGGCCGGCCAGGCCAGGGGAGTTATAAGCGTGGTCCCGCGAGGGATCGGGGCGTTCAACTCTGAGAATGAAGTCGCCATCCTCGATCCTCGGTCCTCGGTCTCCGGCCTTCACGCGTGGACCAGGCAGCCAGTTAGCTGTCCTGGTCCGACTATAGAATTGTCTCTCCGAGTGTCAGTTTAGTTAGCTGTGGTGGTCACCATCCTATGCTGTTATCCTGTTAGAGTAACCCATTGTGTTAAATAAACGTGTTGCCTCCAAGTACAAGTGTGCGCCTAAGTCAACACACTACACATTAAATCATTCGAGTGTGTAAGTTTGTGCGCAAATGTCTTTATGTGCGTGTGTGAGAGTGGGTTCTGTGTTTATCATGTGTTTGTAAAAGCGTGCCAGCCTGTACGTAAGTAATGGCAAAATTAAGGGTGGCCCTGACTGTTCACGGAAATATACGCAATACCCTTGCGTGAATGCTCACTTGAGCAAGTAATCACTTTTTGATCACCTAAATGCAGACTAAAGAACATTTGATATTACTATGTTAACATAATGCAGAAAAATATATACAGGCTATTGTGCCTAATTGAAGGGCTACTGCCTGAAACGGTAGCTGACTCAGGATCTTTATGTTAATGATGGTGGACATTTGAAGCAATTGGCGGGACCCCGGAGTCCCATCACTGCCCCGGGGTGGGAAAAACCACGTAGCGACACGAGTCTTGCCTTACCGACAACAAAACTAGTGTCAATCGCTCATTGTTTTTTTCGGTAAAGTCACGTATGTAGAAATACCATGAAATTACATTAAAATAAATCAATCACGACGTTTCGACCGCAACACAAGCGATCTTCATCAGGTGTAAAGAACAAATCATGGAGGTAAATACAACAAGAAGATGAGAGACGAGAATTCAACAAACCTAAGAAAAAATTACGTGAAGCACAACCAGTCAGGCAACAACACAGTTAGACACTTACCTGGCAGACCATACCTATGCTGGTATGTTCAATCCAGAGGTTGAACACGAAATGTAACACTCTTCTGAAATTCGTGGTCCGCCAGGTAAGTGTCTAACTGTGTTGTTGGCCGGACTGGTTGTGCTTCACATAATTTGTTCTTAGGTTTGTTGAATTCTCGTCTCTCATCTTCTTGTTGTATTTACCTCCATGATTTGTTCTTTACACCTAATGAAGATCGCTTGTGTTGCGGTGGAAATGTCGTGATTGATTTATTTTAATATAATTTTATGGTATTTCTACATACGTGATTTTACCGAAAAAACCAAGGAGTAATTTTATGCAGTTACGAAAGCTTTAATTCTTTATTAGTGTCAATCGATTGGCCTCGTCGAGAGCTACTCGGGGCACTAAGTTTCGTAAAAAGTTTTAAAATTACATAAACACGTTAAATTCACTGCCGGGGCGGGCTCGCCTTGGCAAAGAAGCTGAGGATTGACGGCTGACCGGAAGGCGTTGTCGCCGCGCACAACTGCGGCGGACGCCCGGGCTTGCGTTTGGCCGGTGGGGTGGCGCCCATCGTGTTGATCGCCGCCTGCTGGCGCTTGTTGGCGCGAGTCTGGGCGGGTGGTGCGTTGCTGTCGGGATCACGAGTGGGCGGACTGAAAAATAATTATTGACCTGATTTTTGCGGGACCCCATGGTCCCGCCAAATGATTCATTTGTTTATCTTGGCTTGAACACCACTGCCAATTCAGCCCCTTATTTATGGATGTATTTAAAGCCACAGCTGAGTGCATTTCTCTGGAGCTGGCCATGGTACGAGGGCAATATGGCAACTGAGATGAGTGGTAATTGCAAAGGATACGTAGGACGAGGATTTTGGGAAACTTCTGGATGGTGAACTTCTTAGTGCATTTCCTCCGCGCCTTACAACGCGAGCATGTCTGTATGGAATGGGGTGGAACCGAGAAACAATGATCAGTGTCAAATGTTTTAAAAACCCATTGGGAACTTGTTTCATTAATCCAGAGACCACAAATAGTATTAGATTTAAATGTCTTGACAATAATTTAGACTGAAAATGAACCTAAACCAGGGGTATCCCAACATTTTACTCCGAGGGCCAAATTTACTCAAATATGATACAGTGAGGGAAGAAAGTATTTGATCCCCTGCTGATTATGTACGTTTGCCCACTGACAAATAAATGATCAGTCTATAATTTTAATGGTGGGTTTATTTGAATAGTGAGAGACAGAATAACAAGAAAAACCCAGAAAAACGCATGTCAAAAATGTTATAAATTTATTTGCATTTTAATGAGGGAAATAAGTATTTGACCCCCTCTCAATCAGAAAGATTTCTGGCTCACAAGGTGTCTTTTATACAGGTAACGAGCTGAGATTATGAGCACACTCTTAAAGGGAGTGCTCCTAATCTGAGCTCGTTACCTGTATAGAAGACACCTGTCCACAGAAGCAATCAATCAATCAGATTCATACTCTTTGGTTCTATTCGGTAAAGTCACGTAGGTAAAAAATAAAACAACAAAAATCACGAACGTTTCGGCCACAAACACTAGTGGCCTTCATCAGGTGAAGGGACCAGTTGCTGTCACGAAGACTGTGTTGGAATTAAGAAAGTCAAGCCAGGTCGCATCTTTAAGCTGTGTGGGAGGAAACCAAATGCTTTGACAAAGGAATTAGCATAAAGTGCTGATAGAGCACCTAACACGGGGGGTGGGGGGGGGGGGGGGGAATTACAAACGTTGTTTTGAAGGGGAAATAAGCTGCTGTGAAAGTTTGGTATATCACTACTTGGATAAATATACTGTACCATTGAAAATTAGTTGAATGTTTGGTATGATTTAGAACATCTTTCCAATGATTGCTTAATTTGAAACCATCTTCTCGGTTGAAATTGTGTCTGTGTTTGTAAATCTGAATTGCCTCGTGGACAAATCTCTGATGATAACCTATAGGTTTGCAAAGGACCTTGGTATCGGAGAACACTATATCGTGATCAACCACAGCGTTGTAACAGTGGTCAGCCACGGCAGAAGAATTCGTTCTGCCGTGTTTCAAATCTGATTTGTGCTCGCGAATTCAGTCAAGGACATGTCGCTTCGTCTCCCCGATATAGCAATCACCACAAGTGCAGCTCAATTTGTAAACCCCGGGGTACTGTAAGTCAGGAATGACATCCTTCACGGATGGGATCAGGTCATGGATTTTGTGTACTGTATTGAACCGGACCAGGATCTTGTGTTTGTTTAGAATAATGGAGATCTTTTTAGTAACGCCTGCTATATATGGTAGTGTGATGGTTTAGCATAGAATTTAGCATTGAAATAGCTAAGCATTGAGATAGCTATCTCAATGCTAAATTCTATGCTAATTCCATTGTCAAGATGTGTATACCTTAACTTAGCTATTTCAATGCTAAATTCTATGCTAATCCCTTTAACAATGGGTGCCTCTGCGGGTGTGTATGCTTTAACTTTTAACATAGCTATTTCTGTGACCAGTCACAAGCTAATCATTCAGCCATTTCAATGCTAAATTATATGCTAATTCCTTTGTCAAGGCGCTTTGTTCCTCTCACACAGCTTAAAGGCCGTATCTGAACGTGGCTCTTTCACTCCAGCGCTGTCCTACCAGACAGTCTCGCCCCCTTCACCTGATGAAGGCCGCTTGTGTTGTGGCCGAAACGTCGTGAGAATATTATTGTGTTATTTTATTTTATCAATTTATTATTTTATTATCATTCTACGTGACTTTACCGAAAGAACCAAAGAAGATGAATCATTGCAGTCATGAAAGCTTTAAATCGAAATTTATTGTGATGATCTTGTTGGTTTTTATAGTTAGGCTATTAGTAGGGTCATTTTTTATTTTTTAGTAACTTCCATCGTTGAGTAGGTTCTGGATTTTGTTGTTGTACGAATCTTTATCCATAATTACAGTAGCGTTGCCTTTGTCGGCTGAGAGGATGACTATATAACTTCTGTTTTTTAAATTCGCGAGTTCAGAGCGTTCATTTTTGCTGATGTTGCTAATGGGTTTCTTAGCATTCTTAAGAATAGTGGCTATTTCAGCTCTCGCAACGTCTGCTTGGATGTGTCCTATGCCTTTGAGGGCTACATCGACTTGAGAGATGATATCATCTACAGGAATATGTTTCAGGGTGACAGCAAAATTTAGCCCTCTAGCCACGTACTGTTTTCAGATTGTCCGAAATCGGGGTGTTACTCTGATTAATGACGATTTTGTTAACGTCTAGTTTTGTTATATGTGGGACTGGGCTCTTCTTCGATAGGTGGTTGAATTTAGAAATCAGGTTAGCTTTGTATTTGACTGAAAGTGCATCGGCAGAAGAAGCAGTCATGTTGTCTACATGGTTCCAATCAGAAGGTAACATTTTTTGTGTTAACGTTAAATGAGCTTGTAGGAGAGTCCTGTCTAAAGTATCGAGTTCAACACACGGCCAAAGCAACAAAAGAGTGGCTCAAGAAGAAGCACATTAAGGTCCTGGAGTGGCCTAGCCAGTCTCCAGACTTTAATCCCATAGAAAATCTGTGAAGGGAGCTGAAGGTTCGAGTTGCCAAACGTCAGCCTCGAAACCTTACTGACTTGCAGAAGATCTGCAAAGAGGAGTGCGACAAAATCCCTCCTGAGATGTGTGCAAACCTGGTGGCCAACTACAAGGAACGTCTGACCTCTGTGATTGCCAACAAGGGTTTTGCCACCAAGTACTAAGTCATGTTTTGCAGAGGGGTCAAATACTTATTTCCCTCATTAAAATGCAAATCAATTTATAACATTTTTGACATGCGTTTTTCTGGATTTCTTTGTTGTTATTCTGTCTCTCAGTGTTCAAATAATCCTACCATTAAAATTATAGACTGATCATTTCTTTGTCAGTGGGCAAAAGTACAAAATCAGCAGGGGATCAAATACTTTTTTCCCTCACTGTACCTACATCTAGATTACGTTCGTGGGCAGCCCGTTATATTGATGGGGTGTCATGACACTCACATTACACCTTAGCTTTGTCAGAATCTACCACTCGCCTAACACTCACCAGTTTATGCAATAGTGGGAAGAATCAATCTATTTTGTGAAAAACTTCAAAGTCTGCAGCGAGAATTTGTGGTGTGCAATGAAATTTAGTAGGCATTATACACCCGCACCTCCGATTAGCATGGTTGGCTACGTACGGTGCGAAAGAAGTTCAACATACATACATACACCCATCTCTTTTAATCTATGAGTTTTACGATTCATGGATGTTTTTTTTATAGTCAACTGTATCTGCAATACACAAGCAGCCAGTATGTGAGAGCACTGCAGGTGAATGATTTCATTACCACTCACCGGTCTTTCGTCTCCATCCAGGACCTCCTCCTTGGTGAAGAGCCGTATGCAGTCGACGAGGGAGCAATCGTATGACTTCTGTGGGCAAGCAGGGAACAGATCAGGGCAGACGAGAGCACATGGGGGGGAAGGGGCAGCCCCAAAAGGCATCTACCACAGCCTGATTTGCAATCTCAATATCACTTGAACAATACCACTTTTAACGAGACTGAATAGATTTATAAACTTATTTTCTCTGTGATTATTTTTTCTTGTTACGTGCATTTTTTTTTCTCGTTAATTAAGTATTCATTTATTTTTTCGAAGTGGTGGGGTTTTATTTTCGTATTTTTTGTACGGAACTGGGTAATTGATGTGCTGCGTTGTGGGATGCAATTACATGAATGACGCTATATAAAATGAAATTATTATTCTTATCAATAGCAAAACCATGAATCTGCTCAACATAACAATCTCATCTGTCCTCTCACGTGATGGCTATATTAATAATCTGGCTAAGGAGGCATCGAAGAAGTATAGTCTTTTTTCCATGCCAATGTCTTCGTTAACTCTAAACAATTATTACTACGAAACAAAGCACACATTGTGCCTCAGTTAGATACTGTTGTCATATCTGAGGTGGATCACCTGGTTCTTACCTCACTGCACCAGAAATAATTCAGAATAAAGCAGCTTGGGTGGTTGATCATCCAGCATTCACCAATTCACTCCAATCACTCACCTCCTTATCACTCTTATGTCACTATTTCCATAGTTACTTTGCCCGAGAACTTCACTCATTGATTCCTCGACTCATGTTGAGAAATCGGTCTAAAAGACCAAACCGTTTTACCTCATCCATATTCAACCACCACACCGCAAGTAACAACACTTGTAAACTAAAATAAAACTATAAACTTTTTATTTTACTAGGTCAAGGCCCACACAGCTATATAGCTCATTTTCAGAAGCGACCGGGCCACAAAGGATACCCCCAATGAATTGTCTTATCATGTGGAAATTTATACCAGCCAAATACTCTAAACACGTTTCTAAATGTGGAGCGAAAAACCGGAGGACCCGGAGAAAAATCCACGCAACAACAACGAGAACATGTACACTCCAAATATACAGACTTCAGGGTCGGGATCGATCCCACGACCTTATGTATACCTTGTGAGGTAGTTAACATCTCGCCCCTTTTTTTAATGCTACTTCCCTCGCACTGCTCCTTGAAATTCCCTCCCATCATTTATTGTCCCGCACTCTTATTATAAACGTGCTTCATTCAAAACACGTGTTGCCTCATCCACTACAATTTTGATGGGTGCTTTTTTTGCCTGTGCTCAGAAATTATTTAATGAAAAAATACATTTATCCTCCCTTTTAAATGGAAATTTCAGCTGAAAAACAAACAGTCTAAACACATAGATGCCATATGTAACAAGGTTGTGTGTACGGTGGCTGTGTGATGCAAATTTGAAACTCTTGTGCAATGACGTTGTTACAGAGTAAGGAAGTGAGGTCACATGCCGCAATGATATTACTAGAGTAATGTTGACAAAAAAATGTATTCCTTTTTTTTCATTAACAAAGCTTCTAACAGCTTGTGACACAGCCTATAAACAGCGTATATACAGTAAAAACCTTGAATTGCGAGCATAATTCGTTCCGGAAACGTATTTGTAATCCAAAGCACTCATATATCAAAGCGAGTTTCCCCATAAGAAATAATGGAAACTCAGATGATTCGTTCCACAACCCAAAAATATTCATGTAAAAATGATTAATACAAAATACCTAAAGTAATACAAATTATTAATTAAATTTAATTGTGGCTGGTGTGAGGGAGACGAGAGAGAGGAGGAGGGTTATTGTGAAGGACGACTTTCACTGTCACTAACGGAATCACGGCCATCTGTTGGCTCACTGGAATCTTTTTCTTTTTTGTGCGACTTTAACAAGGAACCTATCCAATGACACTTGCTTTTGCCTCCTTTTGAGGATTTCATGGGGGCCATTGTTGCAGTACAGTTACTAAAGAACAGTCACTACATTTGGCCCAAAAACATGCTTTACGCACACACACGTGGTCACAACACTATAGTAAACAGCATACGCTCGCACGGATGTTGACTATACGAGTGAGGCACGCTGATTGAGACCGAGTATGGGAGACGATTACCCACAATCCTGCAGCGAGAGAGAAAAGAACCATCGGCTCAGTTATGATCACGTGACGCTCGACAAAGCGTATACGTACTACTCGTATTGCAAGATCTCGCTCGTTTATCAAGTTAACATTTATTAACAAAAAATTGATCGTCTTGAAAAACACTCGCAGACCAAGTTACTTGCAATCCAAGGTTTTACTGTATTCGTTTTCCACTACTACTCACTGACCTGCGAGATGGGTAGCGAGAGGTCCCAAAAGGGGTCAAAAGTCGTCGAGCAGAAGTCGCAAGTGCTGCACTTGAGCGAGCTCTTTAGTTGCCCCACGAACAAGTCTGTGAAGCAGAAGGCAGCAAGAGAAAATGCCAAGCAACGCTTGAATCACTTAATGATTCTTGTAGTTAAGTCAAAATTATTTCCTGCTCATGTGAGCATTGTGGCATTGGCACTCATTTCCTTTTTACGGCCGAGCCAGTGGTGAAAATTCCATATTCTATGAAGACGAGTCAATCCATAGGACAACCATTATTGACTGTCCCACACAATGGTATTCATTTTGCTGGTCCCAGAGGGATGATGTGCTGAATCCACTCCCATTCAGGATTTAAACTACCAACCTTCCGATTGTGAGCCACACGGTCTACTGCTGAGCCACCTTGGCAGATCGTGACAATATAATTTCCTGAGGAGTGAATTGTTACACTTCTTCTCCACAGTCTATAATGTGATAGTTGCAAATTATTTGTGGTGTAAAGATGCAGATTAAACCCCATCCATCCTACGCTCACCTACAATCTTGCTGTTCTCTTTCTCTAGGTACCTTTTCCACATCCTCTTTGCCTTCTCATCATCACTGTGGTGGGAGAACAGGGAAACACGGTCAGGATCAGACTGCCAGGATAGTGGCACACACCAAAAATCCAGTGCATTTGAAGCAAGGGTTGGTGGCAGTGTTGAGTGTGGCGATGTTCCGTATGGCTGTGTTAGAGGTGTTGCGCATGACTGTGTTGGTGTGGCGCACATGGCGGTATTGTTGAGAGTTGTTGCACGAGACTGTGTTGTTATGCCGCACGTGGCAGGGTTGTTGAGAGTTGTTGCACGCGACTGTTGTTGTGGCGCAAGTGGCAGTGTTGCTGAGAGTTGCTGCGCATGACTGTGTTGTTGTGGCGCACGTGACTGTGTTTTTGTGGCGCACGTGGCAGTGTTGTTGAGAGTTGCTGCGCATGGCAGTGTTGTTGAGAGTTGCTGCGCGTGACTGTGTTGTTGTGACGAACGTGGCGGTTTTGTTTGAGTTGTTGCACGTAGCTGTGTTGTTGTGGCGCATGTGGCGGTGTTGTTGAGAGTTGTTGTGCGTGGCTGTGTTGTTATGGTGCATGTGGCGGTGTTGTTCAGAGTTGTTGCACGTGGCTGTGTTGTTGTGGCGCACGTGGCAGTGTTGTTGAGAGTTGCTGTGTAAAGCTGTGTGACTCCTCGAGGTCATGGTGCCGAGAGAGCGAAGTTTACCTGTATGAGTCAAGGTCATCGCTGATGGGCTGGCGGGGTCGGCTCAGCACGCGGTTCACCTCCCCGTGCAGCCCATCGAGCAGGAAGCGCAGGAACTCCTGTGCATCCTGCTGGCTGTGGTGGGGGCGGGGAGGGGCACAAGGAACACCCGGCTATGTCACGCGCTTTGACCACAGCCGAGGAGTAGACTGCGTTCGCCCTGGACGTGTCACTGCGTGAAAATGCTTCTTATGGCGATGATGATGGTAACGGTCACCATGCTCATAATGAGCAACATGTCTAGAGCGAGCTATGGTTGCACTCTTGAAAGCAATCGGGATTTTGATAGTCATCATAATCAACACTATTACCACTATCAAAATCATAATTGATTAAATTAATAATTTCGTGTCCATCATAACAACTTTAATCAATGATGACCATTTGTGGGCACAGGCCAGCGCTCAGTTGGTATTGATGCTGAAATCATCAACTGTGCATCACTCCTCTTAACAGACAACACTGGAGCAGCTGAAGCCATTGTTTGCTCTTCACCGCGGATGCAGTTTGTGTTTTGGTCCTGGTCCAGGTGCTGATTCTGCTCATGGTCGTGCATTTTACAGTTGTAGCCCTGTATTCTTCGCAATGAGCTGAGGTGCCATGGTGGTGGTAAAACTCTGACGTGATTTCAGTAGACTGGCAGCAGGTATATGCTGGGTCCGTGGCCTGGTGCAACCATTGTGCCCAGCTAGCGACCATTCTTCTGATTGTCCAGGTGTGTGATGTCAGCCAAAAAGTAAAGGCTGTCTACATTGGTTGGCTTGAGAAAACCAGCAATACTTCTGCAGCATTCAAACACCGGGCTGATCTTTATTAAACGTACGGACCTCTACCATGCAGGGCACACATACTCCGCTGCTGAGCAGCAGAGAGCCACCACCATTGACATGAGTGTAGATGCATATGCTCCCCATTTAGCGATGACCATTTTCTGGATGATGTGACATTGTGAGTTTACCTTCGCCCTGGTTTTCTCAACATGTGCCTTGTATGTCAGAGATTAGTTGAGTATTAAACCAAGGCAGACGGGATGTTAGCAGTGGGCCAGTTTAAACCATGAGATCGTGAGTTCCCGCTTCACGTCCCTTTCTCTTAGAAGGCGCACACTTGGGTCTTCAACAAGTTGGCTCAGAGTTGGTTTTCCTCGTCGTATGCTGCACTGTCATTTTCGATGTGTGTGTTTATGTTACTTCTAGAGGTAAATACCTAATATGTTTGTTGTTAAATATTCCTGAAGGACCCTGTACTCATTCTCTACAATACTGACGTTTGTGTTGTTGCTGTGCTCACGCACCACGGATCTCCTTAATAAAATAGCCGGGAAATTGGATAAACGGGATCATCCGTGTCACAAATAAAAATAAACAATCTAAACTAAGGTTAGTTAAAGTTGCCTTCAGGGTAATTTTGAGAGGTGATGAAAGTCCTTGCATTGGCCTGTCACGCAGCGGTCGCTCACGTATATGAAACATCTGGTGTCTGGGTAGATTGAAAGTAATTGTGCAAGCACACTGCTTTGTGGAAGACCATTTCTCTGTCAGTACCAGCACCTTTGTTTTCCATTCAGTTCTCCGAAGAATCGTTGGTTCTCGAGTAGAGTCCGGATGAATTCGGTTAGATGTGTCGAGACGTAAATAGAGTCACTATAGCGTGTGCGCCATCTATGGTCACAAGCCTGTAACTGTGCGTCTTGTGCCTCTAGCACCGTCGTAGGTATGTCAGGGAAATGGGCCCTAGAGGGCATGGTCCCGTTGACTAGGCAGAGAGAGGGCACGTGAGAACGTGACCGTCTGGGTGAACCCGAGAGGGCACGTGACCGGCACGGGGTAGCAAGGGGGCCCAAAGGGGGTTTGAGGAACACGTGATGCTGTCTCCAGACCCTTCTGGAGAGATCCAGAAGAGGGCGTGGCCGGAGGCGGAACAAGGCCACGCTTGGCAGCATAAGAGGACTGGCCCAAGAGTAATCGCGGCTGTCGTCTGGAATCAACCCGCCGTGCTACGTCTCTTTGGTCGTCGGTCTTCGTGCTCGGCATCGTGGGTGAGTCTATGTATGTGTGTGAGTCGATGTGTGTGTTTAAGTCCATGTGTGTGTGTAAAGTCAATGTCTGTGCGTGAGTCCATATGTGTGTGTGTGTAAGTCGATGTGTTTGTATGTGTGTGGGTCGATGTCTGTGTGTAAGTTGATGTGTGTGTGTCTTTTTCGCCCGGGCAACGCCGGGTACTTCCCGCTCGTGTCATATAAATACTTTCTCAAGTAATTTCAAAAGCTACTTCATCCACATTAGGGGCAAACATTTACCTGCCCAGCAAAAGGCTTTAGTCACAGATAAATAAATCCAACATGTTTAATTCTCAGACCTGGAATAAGCAAATTAGGGTAAACACTAACATAAGGGTTCATATTCTTACATACAGTACCCTGGCGTCTACAAACTAAGTTGCCTCTGTGGTAGTAGTGGTAGTAGTTACATTGGAGAAAACCAAACGACATGTCTCGGACCGCATCCGTGAACACAAAGCAGACCTAAAACACGGTAGGGACCAACACCTCGGCCGTGGCAGATCACTGTTATAATTCAGTAGGCTCACATGACATTGACTTCTCCAAGACAGAGGTTCTCTGCAAGCCTTCTGGCTACCATGAGAGATTCGTTCATGAGGCTATCCACATATACAAACACAGAGACAATTTCAACTGAGAAGATGGATTCTGGCTTAGCAATCATTGGAAAGATGTTATAATCCATTTCAGTCTTTAATTGATTGTTCACGCTTACGGTGGCTTTCAGACCACATCCATTATTTTCGTCTCCCCCCTCCTCTTTTCCGAACATAGATGGACTCAGTTTAACACGTAGGCTTTCGCGACCAATATTATTCATAATAAAGGTTTTTGGGTTAGATCGCGTTTATTTATAAATGTGTCGTAACCCTCCACCACCCGACACGGCCAATCAGCAAAAAAGTGTCACGTTGACAAAAGACAAATAATTCACTACTTTAGCCCACCGGTGTGTTGAAGAGTGAATCCACATTTACCTTTATTATGAACAGATGGACTCGTCCATCTGAATAACTGCCAAATCGCTCTCCGTGGTGCTAACGTTTAAAAAAAAACGCCACTTTTTTCAAATTTTCTTGCTGTAGTTTTCACACCTGATGATGATTGCTTCTGTTGCAGTCGAAACGTCGTGATAATTTTATTGTTTTATATTTTTATTATTTTAATGTTTCCCTTCTACATGACTTTACCAAAAGAAACAAGAAATGAATCCCTGCAGTCACGAAAGCTTTAAATCAAAATTTAACATCAGGGTTGTTTTTTTTATATATATACAGTCCATGTTGACTGAGCTGGGATCACCAGTTCCCTAGTAATGAGAAGGCAGTACAACCACTTTATTTGGTGATACTGCATTGACAGCCGTGCACAAGCAAAGTTAACAAAACTCAACATGCTTGTAAAAAAAACTGGCTTTAAAGGAAAAAATATAGGTACTTAGGCACTGATTTGGGCAAAGGTGCTTCTATATGAAAGCAACCTTTTGGGCATTGGCCATTCTTCAAAAAGTAGGGTCTATTACAAATATGAAGGGCCATTTTGTAAATCGTCACCTATTTATATGTATTTATTGATGAATCAGTATAACCACAGCTGACTAAAACTGTGAATAAATCACACCCAGGATATCAGCATTGCTGGCTCGGTGCTCTGAAACCATGTGATTCCTCCGCGTGACGCGGCCACCTGCTGGTCACTCACTTGTAGCCCATGAAGCGGGGCGCGTACTTCTGAATCTGCGTTTTGAAGGCTTGGGGACTGACCGTCTCTGAGCCCGTGCTGCTCCAGAGCGCCTGCAGCAGCCGGGCAAACTCTGCTCATGTGCAGCAAGCACACAGAGCAGACACACACACTTTCGCTCATTTAGTCACTCACTCACCCACCACTCACCCAATCACCGCACTGCATGTCAAAAGACTTGTTCTTCTGCTTTTTTTCCCTCGCACTGCTCCACTTTGGAATTCCCTGCCATTGTTTAATTTCCGAAGCTCTGATAAAAAATCTTGCTCAATAAAAAAACATGTTCACTTATATCTATCTGTCGCACATCTCTCCATCACACAATGCCTTTCAGAGGTACTCCCAATGTCATGCACGAAGATTACTTGGTCACACTCAGTTAAACATTGTGCACCCTTGACAGTGTCCATGTAAGGAAGGGTCTCCTAACACTGGATTTGCAAGTCCCACATGAACTTAACCTTGTGTGAATCATACATGTAATAAGGTGCTCTCTTTACTAAGTACGTAATTACCAATGCTGAAATTCACCATGACTCAATTACATATCTGCTCTTAATTGTGCCAAAAAGCAGCAATATGTATCGGGAGGGAGCCCAAACTGTACAAATAGCAGCTCAACAAATGAGGAAGGTGGATCTTAAGGCCCAAGCATTGTTAACAATCACATAAACTTAATATAGGGAGCGTTCAGCTCAAAGCATGTACAGAAACACTTTAAGTACAACAAAAACAAGTACAAAAATGTTTGTTTATGTTATTGCGTTTGTCATGTTGGTGACCCAGGTCATTCTTGTATAACAGACTACACTGGTCTCTTGAGTTCATGTCCGGTGAAATAAAATACATTTTAACTTGAAGGTGACGCACAGGGAGGCCTTCTTCCAGTAGTGAATAATGATGAACAGTGATGCCTGTGTAAACGCAGAAACTGCAAGGGGGGCACTTGCCATACCCTCCATGAGAGCGCCCTTCATCCTGCTGCCCATGTTGAGCTCTTGTTTGAAGTCCCCCTTGAGGCAGTAGTCACGCAGATCATTACTGTTGCTCAGGCACTGGATCACAGAGTTGAGGAAGCACTGCACACACAGTACAGACACGCAGAGCCACACTCAGCCGACCGCATCGCTCAGACGGAATCCCGCACTAACAAAACGTGGCAAGAAAATGCCAGCTAAGAAAAGAACCTCCTGCTTTGGACACTCAACAACACTGGGACAGTTGTGAGCAAGGGTGCAGATCCACCTTAGGACTCATCAGGACAGGGGAACAGGCGGCGATCTTAATGTCCACTTGCCACCCACCATCATTTCTGGAGACCCAACTCGAAACACAAACGGCTCTTACTCTATGTGTTCGAGGCTATCCGACATCAGCGAGCATCTTAGGTGGGGACATGGCCCAGCAGTCATGCATTTGCCGGATGTTGCAGAGGTTCATGGTTTGATTTGGGCTGGCTGCTCTGGCTAATACTCCCATATATTTTAAGTCTTCGTGACTGCAGGAATCCATACTCTCTGGTTCTTTCGGTAAAGTCACGTAGATAGAAAAAATATAGAACACGACGTTTCAGTCGCAACACAAGCGTCCGTCATCAGGTGAGAAAGAATGATCTGCTGTTATGGCTTTATATAGGCACAGGGGGGAGTGGGAGGGGTTTTGTAGAGTAACTTAAAGCTTTCGTGGCTGCAGGAGTTCACGGGGGGGGGGGGGGGGGGGGGGTTTGTGGTGTGCAGGGATGGGTGGAGGCTGACATAATTTCAGGGATGGGTGGGGACTGACATAATTTCTCCAGCCCCCACGCGTCCCTGCACGCCACAAACCCTCCCCCCTTGAACTCCTGCAGCCACGACAGCTTTAAGTTACTCTACAAAACCCCTCCCACTTCCCCCCCCCCCCCTCCCGTGCCTATATAAAGCCACAACAGATCATTCTTTCTCACCTGATGACGGACGCTTGTGTTGCGACCGAAACGTCGTGTTCTATTTTTTTTCTATCTACGTGACTTTACCGAAAGAACCAGAGAGTATACTGTCATATATATTATTATAAAATATATTTATGGTGGATGTTAAAGATCCCAAGACATCACGCGAACAAGTGGCCAATTCATCTTCTTTGTTCTTTCGGTAAAGTCACGTAGAATGGAAATAAAATAATACAAATAATATCAAAATAAAATTCTCACGACGTTTCCGCCACAACACAAGTAGCCTTCTTCAGAAGAAGAAACAGAACTGTCGTGAAGACAGTGCTTGAGTGAACACTGCCAAGTTTGGAAGCATCTTTTAAGCTGGGTGGGAGGAACAGAGCGCCTTGACAAAGGAGTTTACATATCAACAGTAGCTGTGTTAATGTGTTGGATTAGTAGGATGTTAAAGTCAGAAATTAGCATGTAACTGGGGGATTAGCATGATGTTGGTGTGAGGGATTAGCACCACGGAGAGCGACGAGCTTTGTTCAAATGGACGAGTCCATCTATGTTCGGAACGGAGGAGGGGGGAGAGGAGTTTACATATCAACAGTAGCTGTGTTAATGTGTTGGATTAGCAGGCTGTTAAAGTCAGAAATTAGCATACAACTGGGGGATTAGCATGATGTTGGTGTGAGGGATTAGCACCACAGACAGCGACATGCTAATTTCTGACTTTAACATCCTGCTAATCCAACACATTAACACAGCTACTGTTGATATGTAAACTCCTCTCCCCCCTCCTCCGTTCCGAACATAGATGGACTCGTCCGTCTGAACAAAGCTCGTCGCTCTCCGTGGTGCTAATCCCTCACACCAACATCATGCTAATCCCCCAGTTACATGCTAATTTCTGACTTTAACATCCTGCTAATCCAACACATTAACACAGCTACTGTTAATATGTAAACTCTTTTGTCAAGACGCTCTGTTCCTCCTACCCAGCTTAAAAGACGCTTCCAAGCTTGGCAGTGTTCACTCAAGCGCTGTCTTCCTGACAGTTCTGTTTCTTCACCTCAGGAAGGCTACTTGTGTTTTGGCCGAAACGTCGTGAGAATTTTATTTTGTTATTATTATTTGTATTATTTTATTTCCATTCTACGTGACTTTACCAAAAGAACCAAGAAGATGAATCCCTGCAGTCACGAAAGCTTTAAATCGAAATATAAGTGGCCAATTGTGACCTGGCGTCTCAATCCAAATTATAAAAATGACACCGCAAAGTAAGTAATTGGGTAACACAAGTAACTGTCACCCCCTACTGTTGTGCCTGCTAAGGGTTGTGTGGTATTTAGCAGTAACTAGGCTGTGGGGACTGTCAGGCTGTAGCTGGTGGGTTTAGCCATTTACCGTGTTTCCTAAGTTCCGCAGTCCGACCAGGCCCTTCACTGACTTGGTGGCCTGTAAGGCCACACAGGTAGGATGAAGGGAAAGAGAAATTTACATTAGAAACCGAACCTACATAAAAACAACACAGACAAATTAAACAATAAAGTCAATGGGACACATGGTGCTGAATCGGCCGATCAGCTGCCCTAGTGGTTTGCCTGATTGCTGGTGATGGCAGTGATATCGGCACATTTGCTAAGCACACCTTGGGGCCAAACGGTTTCTCTGCTCAAACGAGCATTGCACGGTGCTCATCTTTGTCAGAAGCCCTGATGCAGTGGTGGAAGTTCCACGTTCCTATGTTGGTAAGCAGGTTAACTAATCTTCAATTCCCACTGTTAAGTTCCCACAAATTGGTATCTATTTTATTAACCCCGTAGCAATGGAGAACATCAGTAAACGACTGCGCAAATAAACAATCACACAAAAAACTATCTGCTGGTTTGACACTACATGTCGAAACTGGTTCAGAGTTTACTTGTATTAAACTGATGGCGCTGAAAATGTTATTCCTAGAATGCTGCGCAAGCTGATGAGATGTGTAAACAATACTTTTTTAAAGTGGAATAACAGATATGAAAATATGCAGTCTGATTATCTTTTTCGTTACATAAAAATTGCCTTTTCATTGAATTTGGTAAAATTCCAGTTGTGAAAATAAAAAACAATGGCTACGTCGCCTGACAAAACAATACCAAAAGTGCAACGATGTCAAGATAACGTGCATCAAACTGTGTATGTAACATCTGATTACTGTTTCGGCCAGGTGATTGAGCGTTGAAGTGAGCGGCTCGCAATCAGAGATTGGGAGTTAAAATCCTGATTGGGGATTGACTTAAGCCGTGATTATTGCCTCTGGGGTCAATGAAACGAGTACCACTTAATGGGTAAGTCAACAGAATCACGAGTATAAGAAATTAGTTTCTGAAAAAACACATGCATCGCAGCCTAAAGTATAACAATGCAAAATACATCAATGCAACAAATATAATTCAGGGAATAATACCTGAATTACAGAATTGAAAAAAGTGCCTGAATTAAAATTAGAAGTAAATTCAATACATTTCCTGGAAATAAACATTGGATCGGACAAATTACTCTTTAAACCATTCATGAAAAAAAGGTACAGAAACATCAACATTGATTTTGGGTGATTATTGCAGGAGGGCTTTGCCCTGGCACCGGTAAAATAAATACCAAATTTGTTGGGAAGTCAACAGTGGTTGTGCTATGGATAGACTGCCTCCACCATAGGAATGTGGAATTTCCACCACTGATTCAGGCCTGTAAACAAGGAGATGAGCACTGCCTCAATGCTCATTTAAGCAGGAAATCACTTCGACATTCAATGGTACACTTAGGTTAAATGAGTAAAAACAATGCAAAAGAAAAGCATTCAAATTGCATAGTATTGCTGCATACCTACTGGTCATAAATAATTATATAGTAAAACTCCATCTTAAAATAAAAATCGCAATTTTTATTGTGGAGAACAAAAGTAAAAAAAACAAATAAGCAAGCATTACACCTCCACTTAAGTATGCACTCACAGAAGGCTGTGTGGATTATACGATGTCACGAAAACCTTCATTTTTTTACATGGAAGTATATGTGGAGGCATATTTTTTGCTTATTTATTTCATGAATAAAATAGTTTTGTGCTAAATTCAGTCTTGCTCAACTGTGTGTATGTTTTGTATAACTGTATCATCCAGTTTTTGTATGGCAGACGCTGAAGAGGCCATCAGAATAAGGTTCACAAAGGGACCGCACAGAGATCAATGATTTAGCTGTATGCCTAGACATCAAAAGCACAATTTAAAGATGTATTTAGCAAAAAATACAGCTTGATAATAATGTAAATTAATTAACATTCCCAACAACCTGGCTGGAAAAGAAAAACAAATATTTTAACAAATCGGGTGAAAACTGGAAGAACGTTATTTATTTTTACATGGCGTAGCCAGTGTTAGCTGGGAGTCGGAAAACGGTCAACCACATATCACAGGTCACAGCCCTTGCACATGAGGCCCTGCAGCTGGCTGCATGGAGAACGCAAGTAGAATGTTTCCTTAGTTTGGAATTCATAACTGTAGATGTTAAGAGAGAAAAATACAGCAGCTGTTTAATGCAACTGGCCACTGGTCCTTAGTGTAACTAATAATAATACTTCGTAATTACAATGGTATTTTCCAAAGCCTCAATTAACTTTCAGACTCTTTTTTCAGAATGGTCCTGTATTGAATTTTTTCTACCAATTCCCTGGGTCTAATCTTTGAAGTTCCAAGATAAACCATACATATACAGGAAAGCTCTGTACAGACAGAGTGAATCAATTTCTGTATCACCATCTCCAGGCTAACTCGCAGGGCAAGCCTACAACAGCTCGTTTTCCCAGAAAGTCTATTGTACTTTGTTTTTACTTTATTGTTTTTGTAATTTTGGTGACTCAATCTGGAAAAAATATTTATCCTGGTCTCACACATTAAACAAACTAAACGAGAACTATTTATTCTAATCATGCATTGTCGGTACATTCATGGTATTTTGGTCAAAGATACATCGGTTTGTGTATTGAGGATGGATGGATTAAATTATACTACTGGTAGGAACCTCCTGGTTCCACCAGCCCACAGGGGATTATTGTGTCCGTCCGTCGTGCATCCAAAAATGGGAGGGGTGGGGCTGGGTGGGGAGGGAGGGGCTGGGTGGGGAAGGCGGCCACGGCACACACGAGGGAGTGGGTGGCCACCAACCACGTCCGGCCATCTTCACGACATTTTCCCCTCCACGTGGAGAATCAACAACATGCGTTTGGAGTATGCGGCTGCTCTCAATCTCTACATTGTAAGCCGCCAAGTCCGCCCTCACAGTCGAGCATATTTGCGGAATACACCACGCCGCCGTTGACCCTGGCCATTAACCGAGCAACCCAACGTTCCTACCAGCTCCCTCCGCAGGAATGTTCTCAACTTTACAAATACTTACCGAGAGTTTATTTTTGTAAATGCTATGGTCAAAATGACTGTACCACATTTAATATGTTTGGTGAGTATGCATAAATTGACGCTGGAAACACCCTTGCAAACAACATGTTTAATCTCAAGCAACTTACCAGTAAAAAAAAAATTAACAAATAAAATAAACTGGTTTCTTCATAATAAAGGTTTTTGGGTTAGATCGCGTTATTTATGTGTCGTAACCCTCCACCACCCGACACGGCCAATCAGCAAAAAAGTGTCACATTGACAAAAGACAAATAGTTCACTACTTTAGCCCACCGGTGTGTTGAAGAGTGAATCCACAACATTTACAGTTTGAGTACGACGTTTCGCTGGTAATTACATCCAGCATCATCGGGCAATTCGCCAGAAGGGCAATGCTGATTGGCCGTGTCGGGTGGTGGAGGGTTACGACACATAAATAACGCGATCTAACCCAAAAACCTTTATTATGAATAATATTGGTCGCAAAAGCCTACGTGTTAAACAAACTGGTTTATATTTTCATACAAACAGTACGAGTGGCTGGCTGCCCAAACGCCTCTCCCCGTCCCCCCTCGCCAAGCTCCAGTCCCCTCTCTCTCTCAGTGCCCTCTCTCCCCACTTCTCCTTCAGTCGTCTTTTATAACGTGATCTATTTACAACCCGTGGAGTGGGACCTTTGCCCCCTTCCTACGTCACTGCCGAGCACAAAGACGCAAATAGAAATAACAGTAAAAAACAAAAGCCAGTTGAAGCACCGCTGCGTTAATTATGGTCCCTGGGACACACGGCGGGCACTGGTTTCCAGCGCAGGCTTTGTGCCGGGGCAAGAAGGTTCTGCATCTAGTTTCACATTTTCCCGATTCAGCAGAACTCAGAGCTAGGACCGAGCGTTGGCTGCGCCAGTCCATACACATTTGGCATTGTGAAGCAGCTGTGCCATCCCGAGCATGCTGGGATATGCTTTAAACGAGAAGCATTTACTATTGCGGACATGTAGAGTCAAAGGGACAAAACCATATCTTGACCAATCAGCCGAACGTTTGTGATCTACCATATTACTGGGCCAATTGTGCATAGTGCAGTCCCCAACCATTATTCACTCAATCTCCTTTGGAAGCTCTAGTGCTATAAAGAAGGACCCCTGCTTAAAATGTTTATTCTTTAAAAAATACATTGAAGGCCTAAGTTGTATAGGATTGATAAATGTATAGTTTTTGTTATTAGTGCTTGTGCATCGCTGCCAATGCAATATCACCAAATTTCTCTGCGATTAAAAAGTTTGGAATTGAACGTGAATTAATTGCTAAACAAAGATTATCGTGAGTGTAATAACATACTGATTTGTGCGAAAAAAAAAATAACCTAATACCAGAATTTTTTATATTTACATTTTCTATGTGGAGAGACAAATATGGGCAAGTTACATATTATCCACTTGTAGAGCTGACCTCCAACACATGAAGTGCTATAACCACAGTGCCACCGTGCGGCCTCTGTTCATGTTGTGTAAATCTTGATTTGAAGCTTTCGTGACTGCAGGAATCCATACTCTTTGGTTCTTTCGGAAAAGTCACATAGGTATAAAATAAAATAAATCACGACTTTTTGGGCGCAACACAAGCGTCCGTCATCAGGTGGGAAAGCATGGTCTGCTGCTGAGGAAGACTATTTTAAAAGGTTGTAGCCCAAGGGTCATAAAGAAGTGTGAGAAATTAGTATGTAAATGTAAGAATGGAGAGCGGCCTCCTCGACGAGGGCACGGAAGTGGCTATGTTAATGTGAGAGATTAGCATGTTAATGTAAGAACGAAGAGGGGTGCAATCCAAAGGCATGAGAGTGCAATCCAAAAGACATGTGAGCATGAGAGTGCAATCCAAAGGACATGTGAGCATGAGATTGCAATCCAAAGGCATGAGAGTGCAATGCAAAGGACATGTGAGCATGAGAGATCTAAGAGAGAGGCATAAGAGAGAGACAGAGTCAGAAATAACAGCTGACATAGGCGGGTAGGATGGAAACATCACAGTCAGTTAAGACTTTACCTGGTTAATAACGTCCTTCCAATGATTGCTCAGTTTGTACCCATATTCGCAGTTGAAGTTGTGTCTGTGTTTATATGGATGGCTTCATGAACAAATCTCTGAAGGTAGCCAGTAGGTTTGCAGAGTACTTAAGGCTGCGATTAATGTGTTTTTACGGTCACTCATTTCTAATACTCGTGATTCTCAACAGGTATCTTTATAAAACAGTAAATCATACCGTTTCATTCAGATGACTCAATTGGAAAACAGTTTTGGATATTTTGGTAGTTATATTTTCATGTGTATTTATAGCATTGTGTATATAGAGTATATCACAATACGACAGGTACACAGTACACGTGTTTGCTTAAGACTTGTATTGCTATAGGCCACTTGACAACAATCACCCTCATTTCATCAATCATGGGACCTTCTTTGCCAGTACCAAAATATGAGAATAGGTTTTCCCCTTTTTTCTGGCAACAAACAGGTGTTAAGATGTTATAACACCAAACTGAAACCTTTAACAAGGAATCATGTCTGCATTAACCTTTTGGCATCCTCTGGTCTAACACCGTTATGAGACTAGGCTCAAACGAAAGCGCTCTCTGGTGTGGACCAATCAGTTTAAAAGACAATGCATATATTATCAGAGTATGTTTTTTGTTTGCATTCTAACCACCCTAATTGTTGAAGCCAGGTTGCTGGGATCGTTGCTGAGTGTGAAACACCACAAACTTTGACACACACAAAGCACACACACACGCCTGCACAAGTGTATACTCAGGCACTTTTACACAAGCACAAAGATCTCCCCCTATAGTCTGAATAGACTGTTGGGGCAAGTGCTGTTAGGGAGCACCTATAAAGGCCAGCACGACACACGAGGGGGTGGGTGAACAGCACCACGCTTGGCCGTCTTTGTCTCCCGAGTGGCGGTGTTTACACATCGCACCAGGTACTCGTTTGAGGCTGAGTCGACTTAGGGGAGGCCCAGGACCGATTCAGATAATCGTCACTGGTGTTGGCCGTGAGCGGGAATCGAGCTCGGGTCGCCGGGGATATAGTGCAGTGAGCTAACCATTGCGCCACTGCTCCCCTAAACACAAAGACACAGGCACTCACGCACACTCATACGCTTATACAAAGAGAAATGCTGAGAAAATGATCCTCATTTAGCCTCATAGATTTATGGGGCAAATTATATAAATAAGTACCATGTAATTCTAAGCAAAAAGGTCCCCCATCTAGCGTACACAGACTGTTGGGGGAAGTGCCTTTAGTTTAACACGTAGGCTTTCGTGACCAATATCATCCATAATAGAGGTTTTTGGGTTAGATCGCGTAAATATATAAATGTGTCGTTAAAACCCGCCACCACCTGACACAGCCAACTAGTAAGGGTTGTCACGTAAACAGAACATGCCAATTCGTCACTAGTACAGCACACCAGTGTGTTGGAGAGGCAAGTCACAACATTTACAAACTGTCGCCTGATGAAGCTAGTCCTGAATACCTCCAAAACCAAGGTGCTATGCTTCTCACCAGGACTAAAGCAGGAAGTTATTTTTCCCCAATTACATTCCTTAAATAATTATCAAATAGAGCAAGTCAAGATCTATAAGTATCTTGGGGTCAGCCTGGATTCAAAACTGAATTTTGAAGATCACATTGATTATATTGGTAAAAAGACAAAAATAAAAATGGTTTTCTGTATCGACACAAGCACTGCTTCCCCCCAATGTTCCGTTTGGAATTGATAAAAGCTACCATACTGCCACTACTTGACTACTGTGACATCGTGTATAAATCAGCCCCAAGTACTGTACTGAAGAAGCTTGATTCCATCTATCACTCGGCCTTAAGATTTACACTGAATTGCCCATATAGGACTCACAACTGTTCGACGGCTTGTGCACCAGATCTTATTTATTCACGATGTACTTACAAAAAAATCCGCATACTACCTGCTGGATCTCCTCTCTGCTTCAAAGAAAAAATTTGACCTCAGGTCTTCGCTCATTTACCAGCTTCACATTCCCTATTGCCGTACAAAAACTGGAGGAAGGGCCTTTGCTATTGATGGCCCCGGAGTGTGGAATGCTATTGTCAATAAACTGCAACTTGAATCGCTACCAATGAGATCTTCTCTCAAAACTGCTCTAGAGGAGTTGTACACCCCTAGCTGCCACTGCTATTCATTGGCATAAAATAAAATAAAATGTTTCGCTCCGGATGACGCTGCAAAGTATTATCTGTAGTGTGCTGATCTTAAAGGTGCATTGAAAAAATTGATACTCCGACTGATGCCTCTGTTGTTGTGGAGTAACTTATGCAGCCAGCTATGGCTCTAGGATTTGGTGTTACATGTTATTTATGTAATTTATTGTAAAAATTCGGTCACAGTCCCTGTGATCACTGTTACGTTGCAATTATGGCTTTAATTTTTGGTGATTTGGAAAAGTTTTTTTGGTTTGGACATGTTTGTTTTGTTGTAGTACGGAGTTAGACTGATGGCCTTAATCTAAGTTTTCTTCTGGTTGTTGTTGTTTGACTTGCATCGCACTGGGATTTTCTGCACACAGCGTTGGTGTACGTGCTTTTTTCAGGAATATATTGCTGTTTTTTTTTTCTTGGATTATCTGTTTGCACAGTCACATAGTCACTTTAAGATGTTTTTCTTGTTCGTGTTTTTGTTTTTGTTTGTTGTGGTTGCACCCGATTCAAGAGCCGAATGGCTCACAGGGCTATACCAAAATAAATAAACTGACACTGAACTGGTGAAACGTCGTACTCAGTTTTAACCCAAAAACCTCTGTTATGAAGTGCCTTTAGCAAGCAACTATGAAAGCCAACACATTGCACAAAGGGGTGGTGTGGCAAGCTCTATGCCAGGCAACCTTTGTCTCCCCGATGCTAATGTTTACACACCACACCAAGTACTCATTTAGGGCTGGTCATCCTAGTGGAAGCCCAGGACCAGTTCAAATAATAAACCGCTGATGTTAGCTATGGCAAGGAATGGAACTTACGCTGCCATGTCCAGAACAGTGTGCGAACCACTACAATATCACTTCCTCCGCACACACACCCACATAAACTTGTATACACACACAGGAAAAGATCCACCCATACAGTGAGGGAAAAAAAGTATTTGATCCCCTGTTGATTCTGTACGTTTGCCCACTGACAAAGAAATGATAAGTCTATAATTTTAATGGAAGGTTTATTTGAACAGTGAGAGACAGAATAACAACAAAAAAATCCAGAAAAACGCATGTCAAAAATGTTATAAATTGATTTGCATTTTAATGAGGGAAATAAGTATTTGACCCCTCTGAAAAACATGACTTAGTACTTGGTGGCAAAACCCTTGTTGGCAATCACAGAGGTCAGACGTTTCTTGTAGTTGGCCACCAGGTTTGCACACATCTCAGGAGGGATTTTGTCCCACTCCTCTTTGCAGATCTTCTCCAAGTCATTAAGGTTTCGAGGCTGACGTTTGGCAACTCGAACCTTCAGCTCCCTCCACAGAATTTCTATGGGATTAAGGTCTGGAGAATGGCTAGGCCACTCCAGGACCTTAATGTGCTTCTTCTTGAGCCACTCCTTTGTTGCCTTGGCCGTGTGTTTTAGGTCATTGTCATGCTGGAATACCCATCCACGACCCATTTTCAATGCCCTGGCTGAGGGAAGGAGGTTCTCATCCAAGATTTTACGGTACATGGCCCCGTCCATCGTCCCTTTGATGCAGTAAAGTTGTCCTGTCCCCTTAGCAGAAAAATACCCCCAAAGCATAATGTTTCCACCTCCATGTTTGACGGTGGGGATGGTGTTCTTGGTGTCATAGGCAGCATTCCTCCTCCTCCAAACACGGCACGTTGAGTTGATGCCGAAGAGCTCCATTTTGGTCTCACCTGACCACAACACTTTCACCCAGTTGTCCTCTGAATCATTCAGATGTTCATTGGCAAACTTCAGACGGGCATGTATATGTGCTTTCTTGAGCAGGGGGACCTTGCGGGCGCTGCAGGATTTCAGTCCTTCACAGCGTAGTGTGTTACCAATTGTTTTCTTGGTGACTATGGTCCCAACTGCCTTGAGATCATTGACAAGATCCTCCCGTGTAGTTCTGGGCTGATTCCTCACCGTTCTCATGATCATTGCAACTCCATGAGGTGAGATCTTGCATGGAGCCCCAGGCCGAGGGAGATTGGCCGTTATTTTGTGTTTCTTCCATTTGCGAATAATCGCACCAACTGTTGTCACCTTCTCACCAAGCTGCTTGGCAATGGTCTTGTAGCCCATTCCAGCCTTGTGTAGGTCTACAATCTTGTCCCGAACATCCTTGGAGAGCTCTTTGGTCTTGGCCAAGGTGGAGAGTTTGGAATCTGATTGATTGCTTCTGTGGACAGGTGTCTTTTATACAGGTAACAAGCTGAGATTAGGAGCACTCCCTTTAAGAGTGTGCTCCTAATTTCAGCTTGTTACCTGTATAAAAGACACCTGGGAGCCAGAAATCATTCTGATTGAGAGGGGGTCAGATACTTATTTCCCTCATTAAAATGCAAATCAATTTATAACATTTTTGACATGCGTTTTTCTGGATTTTTTTGTTGTTATTCTGTCTCTCACTGTTCAAATAAACCTACCATTAAAATTATAGACTGATCACTTCTTTGTCAGTGGGCAAACGTACAAAATCAGCAGGGGATCAAATACTTTTTTCCCTCACTGTATGTATGTTGAACTTATTTCGCACCATACGCACTGTACGTAGCTAACCGTACTAATTGGCGGTGCACATGCATTGTATACCCGTACACATACACCTGTACCAGCTGTATACACCAAAACATAGGCCTGTACAGACATACACACAGAGTACACCTGTACACACACCTACAAACACACACACGCAGTGCACAGCTGTACACACACACCCATGAGTACTCACCGCGCTCTCCCTCTCGGGCGGCGAGTGCGCCGTGTTTCCGGTGTAGCGTCCGCTGCTGGTACCAGCTCCGCCCAAGTAGGATGAGGATCCAATGGCCGAGCCCTTGAGGCCATCGCTCTCGTCGTCGTCCCTGGAGGTGCCGTGCCGCGTCACTTCCGCACCTGCCCGGCGAGCCCCCACCACCGACAGCCCTCCCAGGTCCCGGCTCAGGTGCAGCTCCGTCTGGCTGGTGGAGCGGCGCCGTGCAAGCGCCTGCGTCGACGAGAATGCATTGCTGCTGCTGCTGCTGCCGAGGCCGCTGCCGAGGCTGCTGCTGCCGTACGCGGAGGAGAGTCCGGCCGAGCTCTTGAACGACGAGTAGGAGCCGCACGCGCCGCCCGCGCCGTACGAAGTCGAGTACGCGCCACTGCTGCCGCCGCTGTAGCCCCCATTGAGCCCAGATGGGGAGTAGTAGCCACTGCCGATGCCGCTACTACCGCCACCGATTCCACCGTAGCCCGGAGATCGGAATGGCAGGCGGCTGAGGCTCTCGCTGCGCCGGCTCAGGTCGTGGAGGTGCGAGTCGGTGAAGCGTGAGCTGCTCCTCCCCATGCGTTCCTCCGCGCCCGAGTTTGAGCGCAGGCGTGAGCCGCTGCCTCCACCGATGCCGCCGTAATCGGGGCCACTGGCGGTTGCATAGCGGTAGTCACTAGAGTAGGTGTGCGTCGTCACCAGGGGAAGCCCGTACGACCGTCGCCCGTTGCATACCGGCTCGGTGAGGTAGGACCGCGTGTGCGAAGAGCTATGCCACGCCATTCCGGCGGTGGGCGGTAAGCGCCACGGCACAGAGTGGCTGGCCCAGCACAGTAGGAGCCCGCTCAATGCACCAGCGCCTCTGCCAGGGAACTCGCGCTCTGCCCACAGAGGAGGAGACAAGGAGACACGGGTGGTGAGAGGGAGACGGCCGAGACACCGGCATCGCTCGCAACAACGAATGTCCCAGGTGGCCAAATAAGAATGTCCCAGGTGGCCATCGCATCTGTGACGACCAAACAGGTAAAACTTGAATGCGTGGATTCACAATATTATGCCGATGATGGTAGACTTGTTTTTATCTGCTTCCAGACTATATGATATTCTATCAGAAATGACGCCACATAGGTAGAATTGCTGATCGGCCGTTCCTTCTCGGAAACAATTAAACATTCAAGACAAAAAACAACCTGCCAACAAACTGCACACGTTTGTGTGGCGTGATGACTCTGTCAGCGTGCGCCAATACAAACGGAAATTCACACGCATGCCACAGCACGCCCAAGAATACGATTACCACCCCAAGCTCTCCCTCCAATCCCTCTGCATCTACTCCCTGCCGCCCACGCCCTTGCAGGGATGCTGCTGTTATCATTGCAAAACAGACATGCAAACAACCCCTGCACATGAGGGTGAAACATTGATAAAGCATTGCATTGCCCATCACTTATTAGTGTCGAATGTTTAATTTGTAACAGAGAATATGCCTCATTCTCCAAAATCTCAATCCAATCCTGGTACAGCACGTAACTGTGAAATCATTTCAAAAGAGATCCAATACATACACATGCATATATATTTTTCCTCAATAGAAGTATTGTCACAATGCTCATGGGCCTGACTTCATGTGCGATTGTGCTCGTGAGCCTACGCTGACATGCGCGACACCTTCCACAGCACGTGCCCTTCACAAACGCACGCCTCATACTTACCCGTGTCCTCGAGTGTCACCGCAGGGCCTGTGCCTAAATGCAGCCAGGAAATTCTGGCACAATTTGCACAAGTAAATACGACGTGCGATAATCGTTGAAAGAATAATTATTCGAGAAACTTCCAAGTCCATCACCAATTTATTTTCCCTTGTGAATAATTGCACGGTTGCAGGGCGGCATGTGCATTTAGACAAACAATTATATAGCATGCAGCGTTGTGTCTTAATAGCATGCAGCCGCCATGCAAGTTGCACACCACATGGGTTTGCAATGGGCCCAACTCAGAGTGCCACAAAATGTCTCGTGCAAACAGACGGGTTAGACGAGTGTGAGCTCACCCTGGCGCGCTCAATAAATTCCTAACCACGCTAAAAAGTACAGCTTTGGAAACAAGGCACACAGGCAAGCCGACCAGCGCAAACACACACATACACCTACGGCACTGAGTGAGAATTTAGCCTACGGATTGGCATTTGGAATGGGCTGGTATATGACGATATGGCAAATCGGCACCAAACATGCATAAAGGCACTTTTTTAGAACATGTTACCTTCAAGCAACACGAATAAATGTACTCTTTGTTTTTTTCGGTAAAGTCACGTAGAAATAATAAAAAACCAAAGAGTAATTCCTGCAGTCACGAAAGCACCTAATCAAGTACAAATAAATCTGATGGGAAACAGCAGTGAACATGGGCTGCACAGGTTTTATACCGGAACTTTGAATTAAAATTCGGCCACAGCCACTCATGGAGGATGTTGTATGGAGAGGAGGACCGATGCTCGTTAGAGTGGCATCAGCAGGAGATCGCATTGACTCCACTTTAAAAAAACTTCACACAATGGTCTTTCATAATATAAGTTATTTTGGGTTAGATCGTGTAAATATAAGTGTGTCGTTAAACCCACCACCAAATATGGCTGTCGCCTGATGAAGCTAGTTGTAATTACTGGTGAAACGTCGTACACAGATTGTAAATGTTGTGGATTTGCTCTCCAACACACCTGTGTGCTGTACTAGTAACGAATTGGCATGTTCTGTTTACGTGACAAACCTTACTAATTGCATGTGTCAGGTGGTGGAGGGTTTAAGGATATATTTATATATTTAGGCAATCTAACCCAAAAAACCTGTATTATGGATGATATTGGTCGCGAAAGCCTACGTGTTAAGCAGTTTTCTTATTTTCTCATAGGCGTCCAACAGCAATCGCCTTCCATGACTAATCTAACAACCTTGCAAATGTAACTCAAGCACCCTGCTGTAAACCAAAGACATTCTGATGCTGCTGCTACTGCTGTTGTTGGCGACTGATGTTACTCGTCATCCTTAACCACCCACATACCTTACTCAGTGGTTCAAACAGCACGCCGACGCACTTTAGGCTGCACTGCCCTTGTCTCCGCGTGTGCATACGTGCATGTGTCTGAGCTCAGCTGCACTGTAAAACTTGAGAGCGGTGCTCGCTCGTGGGGGTCTGAGTGATGGCATTAACGGAATTTGCACTTCTGACGTCATGAGTTTGGCTCGGTCAATGTGGAACCCCTGCATTTAAATGTGTATTATACAGTGAAGGAAAAAAGTATTTGATCCCCTGCTGATTTTGTACGTTTGCCCACTGACAAAGAAATGATCAGTCTATAATTTTAATGGTAGGTTTATTTGAACAGTGAGAGACAGAATAACAACAACAAAATCCAGAAAAAAGCATGTCAAAAATGTTATAAATTGATTGGCATTTTAATGAGGGAAATAAGTATTTGACACCTCTGCAAAACGAAAGATTTCTGGCTCCCAGGTGTCTTTTATACAGGTAACGAGCTGAGATTAGGAGCACACTCTTAAAGGGAGTGCTCTTAATCTCAGCTTGTTACCTGTATAAAAGACACCTGTCTACATAAGCAATCAATCAATCAGATTCCAAACTCTCCACCATGGCCAAGACCAAAGAGCTCTCCAAGGATGTCAGGGACAAGATTGTAGACCTACACAAGGCTGGAATGGGCTACAAGACCATTGCCAAGCAGCTTGGTGAGAAGGTGATAACAGTTGGTGCGATTATTCGCAAATGGAAGAAACACAAAAGAACTGTCAATCTCCCTCGGCCTGGGCCTCCATGCAAGATCTCACCTCGTGGAGTTGCAATGATCATGAGAACGGTGAGAAATCAACCCAGAACTACACGGGAGGATCTTGTCAATGATCACAAGACAGCTGGGACCATAGTCACAAAGAAAACAATTGGTAACACACTACGCCGTGAAGGACTGAAATCCTGCAGCGCCCGCAAGGTCCCCCTGCTCAAGAAAGCACATATACATGCCCGTCTGAAGTTTGCCAATGAACATCTGAATGATTCAGAGGACAACTGGGTGAAAGTGTTGTGGTCAGATGAGACCAAAATTTAGCTCTTTGGCATCAACTCAACTCGCCGTGTTTGGAGGAGGAGGAATGCTGCCTATGACCCCAAGAACACCATCCCCACCGTCAAATATGGAGGTGGAAACATTATGCTTTGGGGGTGTTTGCTAAGGGGACAGGACAACTTCACCGCATCAAAGGGACGATGGACGGGGCCATATACCGTCAAATCTTGGGTGAGAACCTACTTCCCTCAGCCAGGGCATTGAAAATGGGTCGTTGATGGGTATTCCAGCATGACAATGACCCAAAACACACAGCCAAGGCAACAAAGGAGTGGCTCAAGAAGAAGCACATTAAGGTCCTGGAGTGGCCTAGACATTCTCCAGACCTTAATCCCATAGAAAATCTGTGGAGGGAGCTGAAGGTTCGAGTTGCCAAACGTCAGCCTCGAAACCTTAATGACTTGGAGAAGATCTGCAAAGAGGAGTGGGACAAAATCCCTCCTGAGATGTGTGCAAACCTGGTGGCCAACTACAAGAAACGTCTGACCTCTGTGATTGCCAACAAGGGTTTTGCCACCAAATACTAAGTCATGTTTTGCAGAGGGGTCAAATACTTATTTCCCTCATTAAAATGCAAATCAATTTATAACATTATTGACATGCGTTTTTTCTGGATTTTCGTGTTGTTATTCTGTCTCTCACTGTTAAAATAAACCTACCATTAAAATTATAGACCGATCATTTATTTGTCAGTGGGCAAATGTACAAAATCAGCAGGGAATCAAATACTTTTTTCCCTCACTGTAATTAGTGTAAGGGAGTCCACAGCCCTTCCCACTGTTAGTTAAAATCTCAGGCATGAGTTGAGTTTTATCCTTGAGGTCGATAAAATTAGTATCACTATGCCTACCCTAGAAATGTGGAATTTACACTACTAGTTCGGGGATGTAACAAGAGACAAACACCACCCACTTAAAGTGTAACATGTCCATGAAATGCACTCTCATGCTCAGCAGTGAACAGTACTCAAAGCTAACCATGCCTTAAAGCTCTATTACCTAATTTCCCAAATGCAAAGATATTGCTTGAGCATGTAACAAGATTCATTACTAGTCACATATTTTCACTGTTGTGCGCACAACGCAATGTGTTAATATTAAAAAAAACACACACTGCTTCAATGAGCAATATAATTATCACCTGAACAATGTCATTTCATATTTTTTTAGTGCGATCCACAGTATAGATTCAAACAGTTATTAATATTATTACAACGGTGTGATACAATGAAAAACATTTTGAGGGATGTCACCGGTGGTTGTCATATGGAGATGCTAGCCTTTGCCGTGGAATTGTGGAATTTACACCACTGGTTAAGGGTTGCCAAAAGAGATTAGCATTATGAAGTGCTTACTTAAATAAACTAAGTTGACACTATGCCTCATTCGAACATCTGTCCTTCCATATAATTATTATTTTTTAAACATTCTATCATCCTCTGGGCCTTCTGGAGTGTATAATTTCAGCAACATTAGTTAAACACAAGAAAACTTTGGACCAGTTTTTACATGCAATGTCTTATCAAAGGAGACCGGCTTGCTTGAACTCACAGCCAGGATGAATGTATGCTCCTTTTATTATTTTAATGAATGCATTTAGGATTCAATAAATGAAAAATAATAACTAAGCCACATTGTATGAATTTAATCCAATCAGACAGCTAACAACAGAACTAACTCGTGTGACGTGAATGCAGTAAACAGACAATGGCTGGCTGTGCACGAGAAGTAATTCTGTTTTCAA